GTTGAATCTTCACCTGCAAAACCTGCAGTGTGGTTTTGCGAGCTGGGCACGAAGCAGCGCCAGGCAATTGTATGTTTATTTTTGTACCTTCTCACCAAAAAAAAAAAAAAATATATATATATAAAAATAGCCTTGATCAAAGAAATAGTTCAAATGCTTACTCAGATTAATTTACAGAGAAGCTCTGCACTCAATCTGAGCTCTGTGTGTGTGTGGCGCTTGTTGAGGCAGCACATCCAGCCCTAAATGAGCAGCTCAAAGTATTTGTCAGTGTTAACAACGGTAACGTCCTGCAGGCTGGAATTTTGGCCTGACATCTTCTCCCAAGTATTTCCTTGGTCCACTGGCAATCCCTGATTGTTCTTGAATTAAGTGTGTTAGGTAGTGAGTAATTAACTGGTTTTAATATTTTTTGTACCAGGGGAAAAGCAAGAATTTAGACTTACGTGAGGCAGTCTTAAGTTCTTTTATAGTAAGACCCTGACCTTATTAGACCCTCCTGGAACAATTTATTGTTCCAGGAGGGTCTAATAAGGTCAGGGTCTTACTATAAAAGGGGCCAGGGGTCCATCTAACTCCTTGTTTCTGTTTGACACAGTTGATGCCTGGTCCCTGGCCTTTTCACCTGACTCCCAGTACCTGGCAACGGGAAGCCACGTGGGCAAAGTCAATATTTTTGGGGTTGAAACTGGGAAGAAAGAGTATTCCCTGGACACCAGAGGGAAGTTCATCCTCAGCATTGCCTATGTAAGGAGCACAAGTGGATAACTTCTGGTGGGAACTCACAGTGATCTGTTGCAAATTAGATACCTTTGTAAATAGGTATTTTTGTTGCCATCTGTGGGTTTATCTCCACCTAACGCTAAAGGGCAGCTGTACTTTGGGGCAGTTCCCGCTGAATCCCGCTTGTTGTGTTTTTATTACAGAGCCCAGATGGAAAATACTTGGCCAGCGGAGCAATAGACGGAATCATCAACATTTTTGACATCGCAACCGGAAAACTCCTGCACACGCTGGAAGGTTTGGTGTTGGCAGTACCCAAAGCCTCGTTCCCCAGCACAACCAAAGGATGCAGTGCAAAGTCAGAACGAGCTGCAACAGCCACGGCATAAATGAGCTGATGTTGTTGTCCATTAGATAGTATTTAGTTATTTAATGTGCTCTCACTTCAAACACAGAAAACGTTCAGAGGCGAGCTGCATCGTCAAACCCCGTCACAGACACGGTCAGTGATGCCTCAGTAAACTCCTAAATTGCAGAGGGAAACGAGCTAAGCCAATGTGTGCTGCCAGGCAGATGGCTTTTCTCCTGGTGTGTCAGTTCTGGAGCGCTTTATTGCTGCTCTAAAAAATAACTGAAGGTTTTCTGTGGTGGAAGACGAGTGCTCTCCCAACAGATAAATGGGCTTTTAATGCTCCTGCCCACTTTAGTTCATCAAAACCCCACAACCCACTTCAATAGGAGATCATCCTGGAAAATCTGACAGAGTTTCTAACAGAGCTCCCCAGCTGATAACAATGAGATCCTCTGGTGCTGCAGATGTTGAGAATGACTGTCCCTTTCCATTGTCTGGGAGAGGCCTGAGGAGGCTGCAGGGGTTGAGCAGGGGCTGCTGTGGTGCTGCAGCTGTGCTGAGGGAGGGGAGTGGCAGCTCTGTGAGCCCTGTGTCTGTCTGCCCTGCAGGTCATGCCATGCCCATCCGCTCCCTGACGTTCTCCCCCGACTCTCAGTTGCTGGTCACGGCCTCCGACGATGGATACATCAAAATCTACGACGTGTAAGTTGGGCCCTGCAAGGGCTGCTCACAGCTTTGAGGGAGGCTGAGACTGCCAAAAACACACCAGACCCTCTGCTCTCTGGAATTCCCTTCAGCTTTTGGTGACTTCTGTATGCAACAAATAACCTTAAATCGTAACATGCTCATTAAAAAGTGCAGAGGTGGGTGACAGCCCTAACTTGGAAACAAATGACTTTCCTCACATCTGCCCTGTAGGGAACAGGCTGGTTGTTTTGTGTACCTGCCCTGGGAGTTTGTGTTCACCCTCCTTAAACATCTGCTGTGTGTGCCCAAGAAATGATGTTTCTGAGCCTGGAATCCCCAACCCCAGTGTGTTCTTTCCACAGGCAGCATGCAAACCTGGCTGGCACATTGAGTGGTCACGGATCCTGGGTTTTAAATGTGGCATTTTGTCCTGATGACACCCATTTTGTTTCCAGGTATTGAGGAACTTTTTAACTTGTTTATGCTCGCTGGGGGAAAAAAAAAAAAATACAATTTTATATTTCTGAAGGGAGGTGGATCATAAAAAGTTAACGTGTAGAGAGTGCAGGGGGATCTGTAATGGAATAAAATGAAATAAGAGACTCAAGAGCCAATAGCAGCTGCAGTGAACAGTATTTTATAGTGTAAGTCACCCCACTAGAAGGGAAGGACACCTGAGAAGGGCACTTTGATTCTAAATAGCTGAGAAATTACTGTGGAATGAAAAAGTACAGCCTAAGGTAGTAGTACATTAATCTACCTGAACTGTGGTGTTCATTCTTAAAGCAGCTCAGGCAGCTGGGGGGCCAAGTGGGTGGAACAGAGAACTTGCCTGAAAACATTTTTTGGCCACTTTTCTTTCAGTTCATCCGATAAAAGTGTGAAAGTTTGGGATGCTGGGACCAGGACCTGCGTTCACACCTTCTTTGACCACCAGGACCAGGTAGGACTGGCACTCCCTGGGTCAACTCTTCCCAGGACAACTTGAGTTACACGACAAGAGTCTGTGCACGTTTGGGCTCCCCCCTGGGGGCTGCAGCGATGCAGGAACTTCAAATTGTGTGATTATTGCACTTGAATCATCAACTTAATATTGAGCTAACGCTCCAAAGTGGGGAGGTTGAGCTCTTCCAAGGAATTAACATTTTCCAGGCCCAAATAAGGGCAATCCTGAGCAGCCAAGAGCCTTCCCAGGCTGTATTTGTTACTCGTTGCTGTCACTTGCCCACCATGTGCATGTGGAAGGGGGGAAACGCTGATTTAAAAGGATGGAATTATCTGAGCAGATGCCTGAAAGCAGCCTTGAAACTCGGGGCTTTTTCCTCCTCCAAATGCCTGTAATATCAGGGGGATTTTTAAAATTTATTGCTGAATTAATACATGGTTACTTACTAATAATATAATTATTAATATTTATTAATACTGTTATTAATAAAGCTGAGAGGGGAGACGTTAAGTCCCTTCAGTTTGTGTAACTGTCTCAAATCAGAGGACTGACCTGAATTCTGCCAAGTTTTGCACTGGTAAGGAAATGTCTCTCTTAAACAGCAAAAAGATAAACCAGATTTATCTTCAGCCCCTCATGGTGAGTCAGTGCATGAAAAACATCTCCTGTAAAATACAATTTTCAGGAAGGGGCCACAGCATGGGCAAGAGTGAAAACGCTGGGGTTGATTTTAGGCCAACTTTCCAGCCTTTTCCAATTGTGCAATCCATTGTCATGGGCTGGAGGAGCTGGTCCTGCTCCTAGGTGGCAGTGTCCCTCTGTGGGCCATCAGCAGCACCTGCTGGGAAAGCACAAACCGGGATTGCACCAGCCTCCCTCTTCTGCTTGTTGTAGGAAATCAAAGCGCCACCAAAACGTTCCTTTTCTTTGTCCTCTGTTGATAACCCTGTGTCTCTCATTTACAGGTTTGGGGAGTGAAATACAACGGAAGTGGGTCCAAAATTGTGTCTGTTGGAGATGACCAAGAAATCCATATTTATGACTGTCCAGTTTAGGTTAAATTTCAAGTGCTGCTCCTGCCCCCCTGTGATTTTTTTTAAGTATGATAAAACCATTTCATGTGTTTATAGCCGATGTTGGGTTTTTGTTCAGCATGAGAGGAGAGCCTTACTTTTTTAAAATAAAAGCTACAGATGCAAGTGCTCGTGTCTAATCCTTGGAAAAAAATGTATTTTTGGAAGTTTGTGGTCATGGGTGAAGTCAGTGCTCAGTTAATCTCCCCTGCCTTCCTACATAAATAGACTGGAGCTGGAGAGCAGGGGCCAAGTCTTATTTTAGCAGAAGGGAAGGGGCTGAGGTTGGAGAGGAGCAGTGGGCATTGACAGTCTGTGCTCAGCCTGCTGATGTCCCACCTGTCTCAGCAAGCGTGGTTTAACTGCCCTAAAACCTTGCCAGTTGTTCCCAACCCTCACTTCATACCAACCCTGCTGGAAAAAAAAAGTCTAAAAAGCTTCAATGTGGTCAAAACCAGCAGCTCTGGACTCAGAGCCTGTGGGTTTGGTTTATTCATCCCAGTTAAGGCACAGGTCTCTACAATGCCCTGCTGGAGGAAGTAAAAACCTTTCCAGGCAAGGCTGAAATACAAAAAAGCTGCAGCTTCTGCAAGGTCACCCTTTTATTGGGAAGTATTTGCCTGGATGGAACACGCTAAGCTTGTAACCTGGAGTCACACTTGCAGGTAGAGAAGCAGCTGCAGGAAGGCTACTGGAAAGCACAGGGAACACAGGGCAGAGTGGGAGGAGGCAGGAAGGGAATTCCTGGAATACAGAGGGACAGGTACTGAGCTCCACTGGGGCAGAGGAGTCTGAGCTCAGAAAAACTTCCTTAAGTAAAACTGGCTCGAGAGCGGCTCAGAAAGCACAAGAGAAGCATGAGAAAATGTGAAGTACTATTTATTAGAAGTTATTCTGCTATGTTTTTATTCTATGAAATTAATTTTCCAGTATGAAAGTATTTACATAAGACACTCCACTTGGCCTCTATCCATATTTGCCCAAGTCTTAGAAATAGCAGAGGTGAAAGAAATCGAGAACCTTCACAGCAAGGAAAAAATGTTGCCCAACTCAGCTGGCTCTCAGCTGTGTGACATCGGCTTCATATAGAAAGACTACGAGAAACACAATATAAATTAGTTACAAAAAAAGGTGATACCCACAGCGCAGCAACTCAATTTGCTGAACACAAAAAAAAAAAAGAAAAACAACAAAAAAAACCCCACAAGCAGTGGCTATCACAGCCATGCAGTTTTCATTGTGAAAATTTACATGGTAGGTGACGTCCCCTCCCTTCCACCTTGCTTTAAGATGTCTGGCATTGTACTCCCGTTCTGGGACCCTCCTCGTCCTCCTCGTACGCCTCTCCCGCGCTGTTCCGGTAGGTTTGCTCGTTGGGATCGAAATCCTCCAGGTCCACCTGATCCATGTCATCCGTGACCATCACATCTTCCCGGGAAGGCAGCAGAGCTTCCAGCAGAGGCAGCTTCTCCCTGGGGAGCCAGTGGTGCTCTGGGAACTGGACCTGCAAGTGGAGGGGGTTTTTAACGAGCTGTTACCACCCCCCCGGTGCAAAGACGAGCGTTGTGGCTACAGGTGAGGGTTTAACTTACCAGGAATTGTATGATTAGGCTGCCTTTGTCCATGGGGGATTTGTAGACGGGCATCCCTTCGTTGTAGATGCACTTTAGGTCACCGTGTTTGATCACCTCACCTGCAGGGAGGCACAGGAGTTGGGAGTGAGCTCGTGTGGGGTGACAGGCCCTGCTCGACCCCCCAGACCAGGGCAGCGATGTCACAGCCCCTCAGGGACAGCCCAAACAGTTCACAGCACTGGAAATACTAAAGCCAAGCCATTTGGGCAGTTTTCTCTCCTGTAGGAACAATCAGCTTTCCTGATGACTCAGCAGAATTTAAGATTCTCGCCTCTAATGTTTTCCTGGCTATTCACCAGCTGAGGCTGAGCTTTATTAAGCAGCATTTGACAGCCTGAGCTGTAACTCTGCATGTTTTAGAAGGAGTGACAAGAATGACAAAGAACCAACTAAATCAAATTATACTGCCTGGTGAAATTTGAATTTGTCACATCATCTGATTAGAAAAAAAAACCCAAACAAACAAAAGAATCTCCCCCAAAAACTCCAGTCCAGACACAACAAAGCAGTTGACACAGCTTACATCCAGAATTAGAACTCTTTAAGACCTACCTGGCCTAGATGTTATGACAAGAACTCTGTTATCCAGAGTCTCGATGGTCTTTTTGAAGCCACACAAAGCCTCGGAGAGTTGAATTCTCATTTTTGTGATCAAGTCGTGCCCTCGTCTCTGAAAGACACTGTGATCCTTCTGATCAAGCACAATTATAACATCCCCAGGCTCCAAATCGGGTTCCTGGTCCCCTTCTCCATGGAACACTATCTTCTGACCATCTTTCATACCTGGGGCAAGAGAAACTCGTTTACTCTCAGCAGAACTGACTGCAGGCTGAGATCAGAGACACAGCCCACATCCACAGCTCCTCACCTTTATCAACGTGCACTTCTATTATCTTCTTCTCTCTCACCACCTTGCAGCCGTTGCAGTTGTCACACCTGTCCTTGGGGTTGATTCTTTCCCCCTGGCCTTTGCACTCTGGACACACGGTCTGGATCTGCTGCACCATGCCAGGGCCAATCTGCTGCACTATGACTTGCATTCCTCTTCCTTTGCACACAGGACACTTTTCTACCGCCCCTCTCTTTCCACCATAACCTTGGACAAAAGAGTTGGGTTGGATCTCAGTGTCAGGGACAGTCAGGCTGGAACTCCCTGACTGCAACAAGCATCTTTAGGGTGACTTAAAAGAGCGGTTCAGTAATGAAATTTAGTTGCCATCACCAAACCTGCCCCACGAGCTGGAAGCTTCCCCCAGCAAAATGCTTGTACAGCTTATTGTATTAGCCTCTGCCCCACCTCCCAGGAAATCCTGGTTTCCAAGGAACTGCCAACACACCAAATTCCAGACCCAGACATTCCATTAATAACTGGAAAAGAATCTGCTAAATATTTAACAGAGTGCTAAGACACAAGACCTTATTAAGATTGACTCTGCCCCTCCTTTGAGGTAATTCTGGATACTTAGTAACTGTTCAGTGAGTTGCATAACACAAGCCAGGCTCCCACCCACAGCAATTAGAAAAGGTTTTACACAGCAGGCATTTACAGTCAAGCTCTGGATGAAGATCCTTTTCATTTAGAACCCCCTAACTATAACTCAGCAAGTTTTTAGTCTGCCATCAGAACAATCACTTTATGCCGCTGTGTTTGAGAGGCTTGTTCTTGGAGAAGCATCAGTAAGAACTAAATAACCTGGCAGGCTCTTAGGGAGGAGAGGGGAGAAGGGAAAGGAGAGGGGAAAGTAAGAAAACCTCCACATTTTACTCTCAGCCCCAGACAATTCCCACACATCAGAAAAAAAAAAAAATCCCTTGAAGTAAGAGGGGTTTGAAACCACTACTTGTTTGGGGTTTTTACCTTCACACTTTGCACAAATAACATTCTTTTGCAGTGCCAGTTTCCTTGTAATACCATTATATAAGTCTTCAAGGGAGACACCTAACTGGTGCACGACATTTTTGCCTTTAAAAGAAGCAAAAGGGAAAGGTTAATACTTGTTCAGCTGCTGGGAGGACCAATGTTCATGCACAGTCTCACTGAAGAAATGCAAACTCCATTCCAAACTCTGAACACAGCTCAGCCCCCTTAAAAGCATGTGCAGTTCCATCAGCTTCCACTAAGCTGCACCCGTTTATGTCCAAACATAAAAGTCGAGCTGTAATTAAGCAAAGCATCATTAAAGCCACCCTATCCCTGCCCCTACTGCTAATTTTATAAGCTGAACTGAAACAGCAAGAGGCAAGGACACTACCAGCTTCAGATCTCGGAATTTAGAAGTTGCTGTTAGGCCTACCTATGGATTTCCATTGCCACTTCATAGTATAATTTCAATGATTTTACAGCAAGTCGTTACTTGCTCCTTCGACAGGCATTGGGCATGGAAAAGACAAAGAATCGTGCTGTGCTTTTGGTAGCACAATATTTCTCCCAAATATTTTCGTGATATTTAACATTACTGATGTTTAAGTTGATGGTGTCCTTTGAAGCAAGTTGCCCAAAGCATATGAGCAAGTGAGGCACAAGATCTGGAGAAAGGTAACTTAAAACAGGTTTAATTCAACTGCTGACCTACTAATAACTCCCCCTCCCCTACAGACACCCCTTTAACAACAACCCAACAGCACTTAGCAGAAAGATTGCTACGGCTAAGTTATGTTATCTACTGTATTAGAAACTTAATGCTAGAGAAACTAGGAAAAAAAAAAAATCGTAGTTTACTTATTCTATTGTTGCAACAAGTCACACCCCCACTATGTGCACTTAGCAGAACAGCAGTACCATAGCACGGTGTTTGGTGCTGAAGTGCATGGTTAGAGTTTCTAGAACTTGTTTAGAACTGAGTACCTCTTCTCTCTCTATTCATTCGGCCTCCACCACCAAAGAACATGTCAAAGATGTCCATGGGTGAAGAGAAGCTGCCGCCACTCAGGCCTCCTTCTTTAATAGCCTGCTCCCCACCCTGGTCATAGAGGTCCCTTTTCTTTGGGTCCGACAGAACTTCATATGCCTGGGATATAAGTTTAAACTAAAAAGAAAAAAGAAGCTCTGAACAGCTATGACCAAGAGGAAAAGTAACCCTTTTCTCATATGCAACTCCACCTTCAGACCCGGCCCCTACAGCCCCCTCCTGCAGCCCTGCTGTGTTTCCAGCAGGAAACTCCTCGAAGGGTCCACTTTTGGGCAGGAAAACCCCCTCCCTTTTTCTCCCTCTCCCCCCTCCTCCCGTTTTTAAAGTGGGCTTAATTCGGAGTCACATCCAGCTCGCAGGCATACGCAGACTAAGCTTGGATGGCTGGGTAGTAGTAACCACCACAAATACAAATATAAAGCTCCACCAAACGCACTCAGAGGGACACGGGGCTGTCCCCAGTGTCCTGCAGGTGCCCAGCCTGGTGCCAGTCAGCCCTGAGCTCCCCAGGGATCCTCCAGGCCTGCTGAGCTGGTACATCCAGCTACAGCTCAACAGGGACTGATGTGACCACACACTGGGGCTGCTTACTCATCACAAACACGAGGGCTTAGATACAAATCAAAACACCCACTGTATCCACACAGCCAAGGATTTTTTTACTTTTTTTTTACTTTTTATAAAGAATTTCCTATTGCTAAGATTACCAACTGAATTTTTAACCATAATTTGCTATGACTGAACTGCTGCTTCCATTTAAAACTTGATTGGCTTATGACTGGGTAAAGTGGTGTAAGCAATAAAAGAAAAAAAAAAAAGGCATGCCAAGAATAAAAGCAGAAAAGGTTACCTTTGACTACTGTTTAACTTGAGTTCTGTAAATTAGTACACTAGGGACATAAATCTGAAGTTTCTATTCCTATGTTAAGGTATTATCAGACCAGCTTTTAGACAGACAATCCCATCCGGTTTCCCACAGTTCTCAGATGGTGGTGCCCATTTCCCCTCCCGGCCAACACGTGGAGCTGAAAGGGTCTGTGCTGAGAGCGTGGTTTTGTTGTGCACAGTCCACCCACGTGCAGCCCAGCGATCCCCCGGGGACGGTTATTACCTTGCACATCAGCATTAGCATCTTTCCCTGAGGAAAACCCCTCCTGTCCAGGGATACACCACTCCCCCCCCCAGCACGGCAGTGCTGGCAGCTGGACCCACCACCGGCCTGTGGAACAGCGCGGAGGCCGCTGGGGCTCTAAAAACCCTTCCAGCTTTGCCTCTTTTAACCCGCATCTCTGAGGCTGGTCCACTGCGACCACGGGGACACCGGGAGGAACCACGTCCAAAAAGAGGAATTCTCGCACCCCCCTCCGCCCCGCGTGGGCCTCGCGGGGCCTGCTAAGAAACATGGGAGCGGGGCGGCCTCCATGTAATGGTGCAGGGAGGGAAGGCAGGATTTAAACTACAACTGCGGGCCCGCTGGAGGGAACAACACCCGCTCTGGGGGGCGCAACCCCCTCTGCGGCCTAAGAGGCCCGGCCCGGCCCCGGCCCTGCCGGGAGCGGCCCCCTCAGGGCGGGCGGGCGGCCCAGGGGCCCAGGCCTGGCCCCGGCCCCAACCCCGACCCCCGGCCCAGCCCCGGCCCCGCGTACCCGCTCGCCCTCGCTGGGGTTCTTGTCGGGGTGGTACTTCAGCGCCAGCTTGCGGTAGGCGCGCTTGATCTCCTCGGAGGAGGCGTTGGGCTTCACCTGCAGGATGTCGTAGTACTCGGTCTCCTTCACCATGGTGGCTGGGGGTGCCTGCGGGAGGACGCGCCGCGTTATCCCCGAGTTACCCCCGGCTCACCCCGCCCGGCCCGGCCCGGCCCGGCGCCCCGCGGAGGCCGCTCGGGCTGCGCTCACCGCCGCGGCCGCGCTGCTCCCGGTGCTGATGCCGGTATTGTCCCCGGTACAGTTCCCGGTGGCGCTCCCGGCACTGATCCCGGTATTGTCCCCGGCACAGTTCCCGGTGGCGCTCCCGGTGCCCGCTCTGCGCTCCCGGCGCGGCCCCGCCCCCTCCGCGCCCTTTATACGGGCCCCGGCCGAATCTTCTGGAATGACGCCGCGCGTGACGTCACGGCTGGAACGGTCTGGAACGGCCGCGCGTGACGTCACCGGCGGCGCGCGCGCCGGGGCGGGGCCTCAGTGCCGGTCTGAGGGTGGGGCGGGGGCTCGGCGTTCAAATTGGGATTTTAGAGTAAGGGCCCGGAATGTCCTCCATCCCGCAGTCTGCACAGTTTGAGCTGGCAGGGGACGGCCTGGCCTTCCCACGGCACGGTTCACACACAAACCTGAGCAGGGGCAATGGAGCTGGCCCCTCAGGGTGAGCTGTAAACTGACGTCTGGGCTAAGGTGATAGTGCAGTCCTGTTCTTACTGCTTCTTTATACGTATTACATATATATATATGGTGAAAATCTGTATTTCGGTACGTATACATAGTGAAAATTTCAACACCGTAAATGTGTTAAACAGAGGCTTTAGATAGGCTTTTCACTGGGGTTAAAACGTGACTATGGAACTCGAAATATATTTTTAAAGCCCCATATTTTATGTTTGTATTTTAGAAACAGCCATTTCTGCCTAGGCCAGGAATCTTCCATCTGTGTCAGCTTTAGAGAGAGGTAAAAACCAAGAGGGCCTGGCCGGGGCTGAGGGGGCTCCTCCTGAGGGAGGGACGGGCTGGGGCAGCTCCCACAGCACCTGAGGGACCATTTTGTGGCAGCCGCCTCAGCTTTCCCTCCCTTCCCTGAGGGATCCATTGATTCCCATCAGGCAGTAAGAACTGCCCCGCGCTGGGCAGCGGGTGCTGGCTGGGTATCAGGCCTGGTTCTTTAACAGGTTGTGTTCCTGATGCCTTGTTCCTCAGGACTTTGGGGCCTTTTAAGTTAATTGGGCTGTGCCCCTGCTCTGTGTCTGGTTGTTACTCACCCTTTCCTCAAGCCGGCTGGCAAGCTGGGGTAGTTTTCTTCTTTCTCCAGGCAACCACAGGTCCCCAGTTAATTATTTACTGCTCAGGGAAAAGGAGGTAACTGGTGCTGGTGTGGGACCTGAGCAAAAGCACATTTTTGTAGAAGATGGCAGCGTAATGCCCAAAAATCTCAAGTGAAAAATACAGAAGAGCTGTACGAACTGAGAACAGATTTTGTTTAAACTCGAGATGAGTAGAAATGCTTACAAGCCACTTTTTTTTTTTATTATTATTCCAGGAAACGGCTCTTCATTCCTGGGAACGGTTTTTTAAAGCCAGAGCATCTCCCCAGGTTCTGATAACCCAAAGTCTGCAGTTTCCCTGCCCAGCACAGGTTAGGAGTCAGGGAGGACTGGGAAGCAGAGCCCTCCTCTGTTGTCCAACAGTGGGAAATGGAGCAAAAGAAAACAGGGGGAAAAAAGCAACGTGGGGTCCGGATGAAAATTTGCCGTCATTTAAAACTCTGGTGCCGTGATAATGAACTTCCCACTGTATTTCAGGTAAGTGCTGTTAGAAGATTGAATTAATGCAACCTGCTTGTATTAAACATGTGAATGTACTGAAGAAGGGGAAACTAATTACAGGAAAACAACCCAAAATGTCAGTGAAAGGAACAGTTCAAAACCACGAGAAAGAGATCAGTTTTGGTCACTGTTATTTTCTCCAAGCATAAATATCAGCAGCTGAACATGTAAATCTGTGTTTTGCAATTGTGAAATTACAGTGCCGAGTCAATAGAGAAATTATTTTCTAAAATAACTGTGGTAGGTTACTCTGGGTGAGAACTATACATCCCTTTTTTAAGGGAAAAAGAAGGTTTGTTTATTCTAGTAATGGTCTTCATCGTAAATTCACCATAATCCTGTAGTCCTGAACATAATATTTCTGTTTAAGAAGAAATGATAGCTCTGTTAATAGCTTTGAGGTAGCTGAATGCTTCAGCAGATGAGAAGCTTTCAAAGCACATATTGAATTTTAGAGCTCAATTTATAATATGTTATAAAAAGACAGCATATAATTTCTGTGAGTAGAAATCCTTGCGTGGGCGTGCGTAGATATTGGTAAATAGGATAAGAACTCAGACTGGTGGGTGGTTTCTTGCTGTTAATGCTCGTTACTCGTAGTAACAGCCAAAAACTTGGCTGGTGTGGATCTTTGCTTAAGGGCACTGAGAGCCTCCTGCTTGGTTTGCTTTCCATTTTATGAGAGACAGCTATCAGGTTACATTGTCTTTAAAATCCAGTATTTGTTTCCTCCATCTTCGGTTCCAGTTGATGCAACTCTTATTTATTCAAAGAATAAGTTCAAAGGTGTCTGCACCCAAATCTGCTTCTGTTGCTGCACACTTTGCCTCCTTAAGTCTGTGGCTGTTAACTTACTTTTGTGGGTTGCTTACCCACGTCTCAGATGAGCAGCTGATTTCTTTTTCCCTTTCTTTCCCTCCTGCCACGTGTGACGTGAATCCCCTTGTCACTTGTTACTTGCCCAGTGCCAGATTTGTGTGCAGGTGTTAAGCAGGAGAAGAAGCAGAGAATTCCTGTTCCCTGCAAGGAGGCAGGAGTGGGCTGGGAAAGGGGAATAATAGGGATTATTCCTTTAATCCCTGCTATGCCAAACACTCCTAAAATCTGCTTGTTTGCACCCCTTGTCCTTTATCTGGCCATATTCCCATTTCTCCTTATTGCTGAAAGCAGCATCCTGGAGACACAGGTAAGAGGGACAATCTGCTGAATTGCAGCTTCTTCCAGCACCCCTTGATTTTTGTAAAGAAGTGCCAAGAATAACTTTTATTACAAACACCTGAAAAAAAAACCCCAAAAAACAGAAATCTGAGGGCTGGAAAGTTGGGTCTGTTTTCAGTCACACTGAATTTGCATAAAGAGCTGCAGCAGTTCCTCAGGAAGGTGAAATTAGAACCACACCAGACTTTCCTTAGCGTTGAGCCGGATTCTTTCAAGCATCCCAGCCTGAACAGGCATCACAATTTCTACAAAGCTGTCGGGAAAACACTCTTCGAATAATATTTTTAACCTATCTTGTTTAGTCTTATTAAAAATATATACTTTAAAAAGTCAAGTGTAACAGTTCCATGCCACGGCCCTTTAGCAGTACTGGACCCACAATTAATATCTGAAAGGGATGGTTTACACAGAAATTTCTTAGGAAGGTCATTTTGCTGTAGACAGAGAGTAAAAGATCTGTATCTGCAATAAAATGTAAATGATGGCATTTGTTTTGAGCTACTTCAGGGCAGTGTTAAGTGAGTGAGTACCATCTGTAGAGGATTTTTCTGAGGCTGAAAGAGTAAGAAAGATCTGTTTTCATAATACAGTTTTTTTTTTTTTGGTCAGGGGTTGGGCATCTCTAAGTGGTTTGGGCCTGTAGAAAATCTGACTGCAAACAGACCAGGATAAAAGAACACCTCTAGGTAAATGAGAAAATGCAGCTGCTCACTTTGAGTCTAAAGCAATCTTTTCCCCAGGAAAAAAAGGAAGTAACAAAATGGTTTCTGGATGTGCCTGCCCTCAGACCAGCTGTTTTGACCGTGCAGGATGTTCTTTTCCTCTGCATTTTTGTGGAACAATTCCCTAGGAAGCAGAATACCTTGTCCAGGAAAGCAAAAGGAAAATCCTGTTGCTGGGGTGTGGTCAGTGGGAGAAAACATTTTCACAGCGTGGAAATTTGGGGAAATATTAATGCATTCAGCTGGCTGTGCTTGTGGGTAGCCAAGGGTTTTGTGGGATAAACTGCTCCACCTGAGGAAGGTGCACAAGGCAGTCTGGTCTGTGGATGCTGATTTGAGTATGGATAAATACCCTATAATTTACAAGTGCAGGCAGACTCAGGTAGGGGTCAAAATCCTCCTTTTTCTAATCTGAATTAGAGATTAATTAGTATAAGGAACATACGTGAGTTTAAAGAGATGTTGCTTGCCTGGAGCTTTTCATCATGGACTCTGCCCTCAGCATCATGTCCTGGGCCCAAGGCAGTGTAAATTGCTTGATCTTTAAGGTTGGTGTTGAGACTCACTTGTTAAGTAAGATTTAAATGGAGGCTTTGCCCCAGTGATGTTTGAAGATTGTTTAGATTTAGAGGTTTACATAAACCCTGAGACCTGCTCTCATTTAACAGGAACTGTGGAGTTAATTTTGTTTTTATTTTAGCTAAAATGTTTTAGGGGGAAAGTTAAATCCCTAATTTGATGAGAAACTGGGAAAAAGAAAGCTCTATGAATGCATTGTGTGTGAAAGCTGTAAATAATCCCAGTAAATGCAGTTAAGAGCCTTTGAGGAACGTAGCAGGCTGCAATTAGTAGCAAGTTGAAAAGCTGCCAGGCACTGAGGGAACTGATTGAAAATAATGGGAAAAAAAATTATTAGAAGTGGGGCCATTTTGTAAAGAAATGTAACAAAGCCTCTGAAATAGGAAAGGTAAAGGTTATGTAGATGTTTGGCTGGTGGTTGTTGTGGGGTGAGGGGTTTGGTTCTTTAGATTCAGAAGACTGGAATAACAACTGGAATAACTACCAGTTTAATCTCATGATATCTTGTTTGTACCAGAAAGCATTGTTTGATACTAAGATATTACACGATATTTACAAACAAGATATCGGTCTTGCCTCCCGGGTGAATGGCTGGGGGAGCGCAGAGCTCGGGTGGTGTTTTTGTGAATTAAACCTGAGACATCCCGTCCCAGCCAGGCTCCACCCACGCGGGGGCTGAGCTCGCCGACGACGCGGCTTTGTTTGTGCTCTCCGGTGTTTCTGGTCGGGATCGTGTGGCAGTTTGTGGTGACAGCGTCTTCAACTCGGAGGTATCAGCTGCAAATCTGTGAGAGAGACCGACAGTAATTACAGAGCAGAGGATGTGAACAGTGTGGGAACCCTTCTGATCCTTCCCAGCTTCCTGTGCCTGTCAGTGCCCAGAAATCTCAACCTGTGGCTGCAAAAAACAGCCCAGCCCCAAAATTCAGTCTCGTGCAGGTAGGTCTGGGCAAAAAAGGAAGAGGATCGTGGCATCGTGGAAAAATCACTGCGGATGATTCCTTAAGCCTTTCCTGCTGAATTCTACCCAGGTTGGCAGCACCATTTTGTTAGGATTGATCTCTCGAAACTTGAAGGGTGGCCAGAAATGAAGCAGAACGGGCAGATTTTGTGTAGAACTGTTTCTTACAGCTTGAGCCCGTTGTTCGAGTGACGGGGGCATTTGGAGCTGCCAACTGCAGGAGCCCCACAGTCTGTCCCAGCCCTGAGTGTTCTGTTACAGCCACATGATGCAGAGTCCAAAAGCAATTTTCTCCCCCCAGTAAATCCCCCCCTGCTTCACCACCTGCCAGCCCTGCAACCGCCCTTCTGGTGGGGGAAGTGATTTGTCATTGAGGAATCCTTGGTTGTATCAAAATACTAACAGTGAGTTCAAGGAATATTATAGGAAAATCAAGATAAAACAAAAAAATCCTTTCTAAACCCAGTGTGTTATAGAAAACACGTATATTTGAGGTTTTCTGATGATTTGCTGAAAGTACAAGCTCTATCCATGAGACCAGCCGCCCACTCAACACCCAACATGCAACCCAAGCAAGGTTGTCTAATTGGATTCCTTCATACAACATGTAAAACATTTTAGATTATCAGAAGAATGAAAAAATTGGTTTTCTTGAAGCAGTTTTCTTAGCCACCCCTGATCACTGTGGCTGTGTTTGTGCTGTAAATTAAACATTCCAGGAGATGTTCTCTGGCTCTGAGGGCTGTGGCACAGCGTGGCTCACATCCCTCTTGCTCTCCACACCTGTCCCCATCTCCAGTGACAGCCCCTGGCTCAGGGAAATTCCACTTCACCCACCCCAGACCATCCCAGGGAATCCTGGTGAGTGGCCGAGCCATTCCCTGCGTCTTGTTCTGTTGACTGGGACAGATAAGTAGCTGAATCAGACTTTCTGACATCCTGGGCAGTGATTTGTTCAGTCGTGTAGAAAATTCCACACTGCAGGACAAGCCCGGCTTGGGGAAGCCGAGGAAGTGCTGGGGTAGTTGTGATGCTGGAGGAGGGGCTTGGCTGTTGCAGTGCTGGGCTCTTCATAGGTATAATCGACTTGAAGGCATTTCCTGATGTCATTAATCTGCATTTTCTTTACGAAAATAGCTTCCTCCCTCGAAAGTGGAGTTAATAAATTTAGAATGGCTTCAACTTCTGCGAACGAAGTCGTTGGGAATCTTGGCAAAAGGAAGGATTTGCATCTTAGAGCGCTGTAGACTCATTAAAATTCTTCTCATGGGTAATTAAAAAAAAACTGAATTAAAAAGGAAAGTCTAACAGTAAGCAGCTCACAGGCACTGAGGACATTTCAAGCATGTTAAAATCAGAAAGAACCAGCTTTTGTGGCAGCAGTCTCCTCCTCTTGGATTACGTGGTGGGTTTTTTAACAAACAGCCACTTGCTGGTGGTTTCTTCACTTGTCCAAGTAGTTTATTTCTGCCTGACCCACACAGTCCTCTGGCACATTTGTGCCTGGCCTGGGAGGGTTCGTCAGGATGCTGAACAGTGGAGGGACTCTCGGCGAGCAGCCACGGGAGGAAAATGCAGGGAACCTTCTGGGGAGCCGTGAAAATGGGTAAAGTAGCTCCAGACTGATTTTAACAAACTCACCTACCAGTTTTTCCCAAGTTTGCCTTGTCCTACAGCCAGAATGGTGTCTCTGGTGCAGAGAAGAAGGTGCATCTTTTGAGGAAATTGTTAGTTAAAGGCCTAAATGGGTTTATTCTCCTCTGCCAACTTGTGCTGTGACGTTCAACCCAACAGCATCTTTCGGTCTGGGCTGTGTTGCTCGTGTCCTTTGGGCATGGATCTGCTGGATGGTGTTTATTTTGCAGCACAGAGGCTCTTGAACCACCTGTCCAGCACTTCTGACAGGTGTGTTCAGCTCCTGGGGCTCAGCTGGGGGGAAGAGAAGCTGAAAATGCTGGTCAACTTGTAAACTCTTAAGATTCAGAGTATCCAGTGGTCAATGAGGTGAGATTACAGGCACTCTCCAACACCAGAGAGCAGCCAGTCCAGGGGGTGGGGAATAAAAAGCTGACAGTCCATCTCCTGTGCCATCCCTGCATTGTCTCTGGGGGTAAGAGTGGCACTGAGCACTCTGCAAGGTCAGTGCTGGTTGCTCTGCACGTCTTACAATGCACATAATCTACCTGGAATGGACTTTAAACATTCCTGTTGCTGTTGCTCTGGGATGGTGTCTCCTGTTAGAGAAAGCTGCCCATCTCTAGAGTTTCTGGAAATTCTTACTTTTGAAAATAGAACAAGACATCTCCCCCGGGAAATATTTTAGCTTCTGAACTGTTGGAAGTTCATCAGGATTGCCAGGTCTTAGTCTTCTGTTAAGTTAAATGTAACTTCACATTTATTTAGGTAACAACTTGCACGTTATGCCTCTTGTTGGAAGATTTGCTTGGCCCTTTCAGGGAAAGGATTGTTGGGATGATTTCTGCGATAATGAGGTTTCTTCTGTTCTGGGCTTTGTAAGAGAATCATATGGGGCAATCCAAAGATTGAAGGTTTTCAGAACAGGAAGAAGTTAAGGAATCTTTGAAAATTGTTGCATGTGTTGATGTTGCCTCTGGAATCTTAATGCAGTTGATACTGGAATTGTCATTTTCTGTTTAATCTGTCCAAAGATCATAAAGCACTATTTGACTTGTGATCAGTGTAGGCATATGTACCCTCTTCCTCAGGGAAGTTAGGATTTTGCTAAATCAGTAATAATGCCTCTATTTTAGTCCACACAGGCTAGAGGAGAATTCAAAAATATACATTGGTTTGCATTCACTGCAAACAGGAAATTTAAGCTTCCTGTGTTAGAAAGATGGTTAGCATTTGGTTTGTTTTTGAATTTCTAGTGAAGGAATATCACAGACACTAGAACTCCAAATACTTGTGGTGTATTCCAAGCCCTTGGCATCAAACTTCTGTGTCATTTTCTGGAAGGAGTCAGGGCAGGTTGTCCTGGTAAATAGTGTTGTTCACCTGCTGTGGTTTGAAGTGGGGTAGCAAACTCAGATACCTTTTCTTGTGTGCTGGAAGGAGGATTCCAGGTAGAAAAGACTAAACAGAGAGAATAAAATCCCAGCAAACTGGAAAGAGTTTAAAAAAAAAAGACCTTTTATGAGGCTGAAACAGAACCGGTGTGACCTAAAAAAGGAGGAAGAGGCGAAATAAGGAGCTCTGTGACCTCACTCTGTGCTGCACTCCCTGCAAACAGCCAGGCAGAGGCAGCTACTGCAAGATTTGTGCTCCAGGTCTGGCTTTTTGCTGTGCATGGGGAGAACAGAGCCAGAAAATCCGGCCCAAGGTCAGGGGAGGGTTGTGCTACGCTCCCAACTGCTGAATGGAGCCTTTTTTTTGGGGGGGGAGAAGAAAAAAGCCTGGCTTTATTGTTCTTTTCTTCCTATTCAGCCACAGAGTTCCCAGCTCTCCGTAAAAACTGGTCTGTCACCAAAATAACTGACCTGCTTTTGGAGGATATTTCTTCTTAACAAGGGGGAAAAAGAGAGAGAGAAAAAAAAATTAGTGCTATTTTTTGCAAGTAAGGATGTTCTCCTAGAAGGTGTGTTAGACAGTAAAACAGGTCTCAGCTGCTAACTTTCTCTCTTGCTGTTTTGTTCTTTATTAAGCCTTTGTTTTGCTTTTAAATGCACCTTTGGGACAGAAGAAGTTGAGTGATTTGAGGAAGATTGGCTTCTTGTGCACTGGGCAAAGCAAAGTGGGGGTGGGATCAGCTGAGCCCTTTTGCGGGAGCAGGAACGGATCTGGGGCTGGGCTGATCCCTGGCCCCCTTTTGAAGTCTCACAAGGGCATGAGAACCAATTAGCAGCTAAATCTGACCTGTTCTTCGAGGGCAAAGGGAAAATTTAAATAGAATTCATGAAGAGTGTGTTATAATATTGCCCTGATTTGAATAGAGGAGTCATTAGTAAATAAGGTAACCAGCAATGTCCTTCTGTCCACCTCCTGGGACTCTTTTCTTTATTTCTTCTGATGGGAAGAATTGAAATGTCACGGAAATTGAGGGTTTAGAGATCTACTGCTGTGTGTCATTACTGTGGGGTAATGCTGTAAAAAAAAATGAGGAATGTCCTGGGTAACAACTGACAGCTCCTCAGAGGCTGGAGCTGCAGGATTTGCTGCTTGGCCATTTCTGGGCTGGTCCCAGATTGCAGCTGAGCTGTCAGAGCTGCAGTTGATCCCAGCCACAGTGACTTTACTGCCTTTGTCTGGAGCTCTAGGACAGATCTGTGGGTCTAAATTGATTGTCTTGGGCTCACTGCTCCAATCTTTTCCCAGAACTCTGTTTTCAAATATTGGATTTGGCTCTTGCAGGGTGCAGGGGGAATGGGGAAAGGGTTTCTCAGGAACGGGATCCAGATGAAGATATTTGGGTTCTGAAGTCTCAAGGCAAAGTGCCAGAATCATTCCAGTTTTCAGGTGATTTAAGCCCTTGCTTTTTGCTGCCAGAAGAGTTGTCGGGTGAATACCTAATGATTCCATCTCGAATTCAAACGCCACAATGAGCTGTTGAAAATGTCCAACACCCAATGAAAAGTTCTTAAGAATGTGCAGCTGCAGAGCCAAAATACTCCTCAAAGCAGCTCTGGTGCAGAGTTAAGGCCGGTGGAATGTGAGGAGCTGGGTTGTCCTGGGGAACATGGAAAAAAAGCTGTGAGGGGGTGGGAGTTTCTCAGTGTTGGAACAGAAATAACTATTTAGGACACGTGTCACTCAAAGATAGACACTTGAGTGGGAGAAGGATGTTTTATCCTCCACTTTATTGGGGATTACTTCAATAATCCCCAAATTCATTGACAAACCACCAGACTTTTTGAGGAGGAACTCCCCAAGTCATCCTCAGGAGAAGCAAGCAGTGAAAGACTTAAACCAAATTTAGGGAAAATATCTGTTTTGGGAAAATGAGTGTTTTCCCATTCAGCCTAGTTTTATGTTTCTTAAATCAGAGTTATAGTTAGGAAAGCCAGTTCAACCAAAGTGTTTGAGGAAGGAAGTCCTTGTGCAAATGGGGCAAGGCAAGCAGGGAATGCAGAATCTTCAGCATTTCTCATCCATTAAACCATTAAAAATAGCTAATTAACAGAAATCTTGTCGGTAAGTGGTGAGCTGACACGTGTGGTACAACGGGATCCAGGAGCGAGCTGAGTGATGGGAGAAACCTCTGCCTAAAAAACACCAAAGGAGGGAGGAGGAGAGGGGATCCTCACCCTGAATCCAGCAGCAGAGGTCTGGGAGCTGGGAACGTGGCTTCTGGGTGAATGCTTAGAACCGCTGACTGGTTTAATTGCCAAAAAAACGTCGGTTTAAGGCTTTGTGAGCGCTGTGAATGTGATTTCCAGGCTTAAAAGCGCTTTGACTTGCTTTATGTGTGTAAGGAAATCTGGTGAAATCTAAAGGAGTACCTTTACCTGGATAATATATTAACAATTTACATGTATAGGAATACAAGCAGAAGATGAGATGTATTTTATTTGCCACCACATATAGTCTGTTTAATGACTGCTGCAAAAGAGGGTTCGTATTCTCTTGGTGCAGTTGATGATGTTAGAAATCACCCTGCAGAATTAAGGCCAAAATGTGTCATTCCCTAGAACCTAAAGTTTGAAATTTGGGAGAAAATATTGTAACCCAGTTCTACAGGACAACCAGTGTGTCCTGTAAGGCTCATTTAAGTGAGAATTTCTGTAAAACATTTTCTCCATAGGAATCTTTGGCTTGTTATCTCATTAAAGACCGAGTTCATAGATTCTCTTCTTTTTTATTGTTAGTATTTTCACAAAATTTTGCTATCAGGAAAGAATTCAGATGACAGCAAATATCTGACTGGTTTTGACCTGGAGAATGAGTCATAAGCAGAAATTCTAATTACCAGAGGAGGAAACACAGAGCTTGTGGAAGGAAAAGCCTAATTCCAAATTCCCTTAAAACAAAACACACACAAAAAAAAACCCCACTATGGCAATTAGTGTCAGAGTGAGTAGTGCCATTAATCACTCAGCATCATTATGGTGACAGAACAAACAGCTTTTCCAGAGGGTGATTTGCACCAGAGCATTTTGTGACGAGCTGTTACAGTCACGGGAACTCTGAAGGAGAGGAACCTTTCCCTTAGTTATTCCAATGGATGGAATTTTCAGGTTCTTGCTTTCCAGCTTGGCCTGGTTGTTTGGGAACAGTTTCCATGGGAAGCATCGCCCAGCTGACACAGGATGGTGGTGGGAGCTGCAGGTGGGTTGTGCTGGGCCCCAAACCCCTGGAGAATCCAGGCAGCCTGAGGATTCTGTGCCTCTGTCTCAGTGAAGGGAGCCTGGAAATCAAATCCCAAATGACATCAGGAAGTGCTGTCGTTGACAATCCACCCCTGCTAATGGAGCTCTCCAGAAATAAGCTTTGTTTGGTTCTAGCTGGTCAAGGTTTTGTAACGTGCCATCAGTTTGTTCTGATTGACTCGTTCGAGCGACCTCAGCTGTGAAATCCTCTCTCTGTGTGTGATCTGTGCAGGTTTTCCTGGGTTATCTTTGGAATTGTAAACTTCCAGCAGAGAAATCAGACGTGCAAAATCCACCTCGAAACCGGTAGCTGGATTTTGGAAAACGCTGGCCCTGCACTGATAACACTGAATAATTCATGCAGAACCTCGATCTTAATAAAATATTTAGGAGCCCAAGGCCAGATTTACAAAACATTCCAGCTTTGCTGAGGCACCTCAGCCTCGAGCTGGTCACTTATTTCTCTATAAATATGAAAATAATATCAACTGAACCAGAAGCCTGTAACAGCTGAGACTAAAGCAAACAAAAGAGGTTTTAATCTGGGAAAAGTCACTGCTGATGTTTATTAAATTTGGAGGAGCCTCAGAGGAGGCTCTTTTGATTGATGACTACAGAGCTGTTTTCTTCTGAAGGCTTTTTTTTGCTGTTTGTTTTCCTCAAAAGTAGTGGTCTGCTCTCTTGAGACTAAGGCTTTGTTTGGTTTGTTTTGTGAGATAATAAAAGTTTTCAAAGCGTTATTATTAGAATTTATTTAAAGGAAAAGATACCGCTGGATTTCTAAACATCAAATGTGGGGGTTTTTTTTAAATAGGAAAAAAAAAATCTAAGAACTATGAAGGGTTTTGAGATGGCAGATGAAACACACGTTTTTAAGTAATTTCAGATGTTTTGTTTTGGTTTTATTCCCAAAAATCTCTTCCTGGTCTGTCATTCTCTCCTTGCAGTGCCAGTTGATGAAGTCTCCATTTCTCCCCCGTGTCAGACACGGCCTTACCTTTCAAAACCCTTCTAGATTTAAATTCCTCAGGCTCTCAGCAACATCCACCCTCCCCCAGCCAGTGCCTATTTCCAGAGCCCTTTTTTGCTTCTCCGACCAGCCCTGTGATGTTCTGTCCCTGTTAATTGTGCCTGTTAACGAGAGAGGAAAGATCCTGGCAGGAGAGATTCCTGATGACTCCTCCCTTTCCTTCTGTGACCTGACACCCGGGAATCTGGGGAGGAGGAGGAGGAAGGGAGGAAATCACCTGGGATTGTCACTTCTGAGGGGTGAAGGATGACAGAGTCTCCTGAATTATTGTACAAAGGGACCAGGCGTGGTTAAGGCATTTTAAAATCATTATTTCATTTCACAAGTATGGGTGTTAATAGGAGATAGGAAATAGTGTCTGAGGTGGGGTTTGGTCCTGCTGTTTGTACCTGACACTGCTGGGTAAAAAATGGCATCATTTCAACTTTCTCCTCCTACATTTTGAGTTGTTGATTTATTTTACAGTGTGCAGGGGAAGGACTTTCTGAGCTTCACTCAGGACTCTTCTGTTGAGAGGAATGAAGGGAATCCCGACGTGTCCTTGAAATGGAATGAGCTCAATTAAAGAAATCTTTATGCTGCTATTTATGAATAATCTGCAGTTATTTGTGAACTGTATTGTATTTCAAAGTGCTTGGAAGTTGAGTTTTTCTTTCCACCTCAGAACATGGTGTTGATTGTATTGGATCCCTCCTGGATAACTTGTTAATGGTTCTATTTTCTTTCAGAAGCTTTGCAGAGGCACGGAATGTCTGCAGGGATTCACTGCCCCACTTGGAGGAGGCCCAGGATGAAGGCACAGAGCCAGCAGGTGAGCCTGGCAAAGGTGATCCGTGGAAATTTGAGCTCTTTTTGGAATTTTTTTTATATTTCGGTGGAATTTGTATGGCTATTCTAGCAGGTTGTGACTGAGAATTTTTCAGGGCTGGCATAAAGAGAGGAAAACTAAAAATAAACCCTGAAGTGAGTCAGGAGCTGCAAATCTGACTGCATTCAACAGTTTCGCCCAGTTTTTGCCTGTATTTGAGGCAGTGACCAGATAAGAGCGAAAAACAGACTGTTCCCATTTTAAATCACCCAAACTGTGTTACCTTTGGCATCACCAGCTGTCACCTGGGGAGGATGAAAGGAGGTTTGTGGGCAGAACTTTGCTGTCCCTGTTGCCTTGGTGAGGCTGCTGCTGGTACCCAAATGTGCTCATTTCAACAGAATATTTGTTCTTCGAGGCAGGTGGAGCAATGACTGCGTAGCTATAAAATCTGTGTAGGAATCTCCCAGGCAGACATTATACACCTGTATAAATGTATGGCTGTATCTTTATTTTTTAAAAGGCACAGTAGGTTCTTTCCCAAAATTGAACTACCAGCTCTATGCTTTTTGTTCTTCCAGCAAGCAGGAAAGAAGTTTGGATGGATAAAGGTGATAACTGACTTCTGGTGTGCAGTTTTCAGGGTCTTTCAGTGCACTATTTGAGGCACACATTTTATATTTAGATCATCACCCAGCCTGTGCTTCTGCACAGAATTTGTGCACTCAGGAAGGCTCTGACCTATTTTTCTAAGAATTTATCTGGGGCTCTGGTTGCTGCTGTCAGACACCCACCCTGCCTCCCTCCCAAAATGCTGGCTGCAGTTTACAGGAACCTGCTGGGCTGGGAACCCCTGCTGAGGAAGGAATGCTCGTGCCATGCTCCCACTCTTGCACAGCAGTGAGGGGAGAAGCCCTTCCAGCTCTTCCCTCGCAATTTCAGTGGCTCTACATTGCATGGAAAGAGGAAAAAAAAGGAGATTCTGATGTTTTCTGGTTGAGCAGAACTGCCCTTCTCTCGCTTTATAATTGACACGTTCTGCGACCTCAGGACTAAATTTGCTCAGTGAGGACCGCAGATTGTTCTGGAATTTTTTCCCCATTCCTTTCCACCGACGTCTAGAAGCTCATTCCTGTGGAAGCAGGCCGGATTTAGGGCTTTCTGATTCATCTGTAAATCCAGAGTGCCCTTCCTGCTGGCAGCAAGCTTTACATTGACTTAAAATCAGCATGAAGTGAGAAGAGAACTCACTCCTGCTGGCTTTATACTGATGGAATCACAAAGTGATTTCTGTTGCAAAAGACCACTGGAGGGCAACTCTCTGCTCATAGGAGGGCTTGTGGCTTTGTTCAGCTGAGTTTTGAAAACCTCCAGGGATGGAAATTCCACAGCCTCTCGGTCCCTCTCCATAAGCTGAGTCACCTGCATTGTGAAATCACTTTTCCTGATCCAGCAGGAGTTTTCCTTCCTGCAGCTTGTTCTGTGGGGTGCTGAGGTCCATCAGGAGGGATTGTTGTGTTGGTCATTCCTCGGATTTGGTGTCATCACTGAGCAGCGTCGATCTCAGGAGTAACCCCTGGAGAATGTCACTTGTCATGACTGCTCTGGCTGCACTTGGAATTGTTGACCACTGCTCTCAAAGACGAGTCATCCTGCCAGTTTTTGATCCACCTGTTCCTCCAGCTCCCCCTGGTTCAAACCTTCCATTTTGGGCTGTGTAGAACTTGTTAAAGACCTTGTGAAAGGGAAAAAGTAAACCAATATACCACTGCTCTCCCCGTGTCAGAGCCAGCCAGCTCATCCTGGGAGGTGGTTGGGTTAAATTTCCCAAGGCCAAATCCATCCTGGCTGTTCTCAGTGACCATTTTAGAGCTCAGAATGATTTCTGGGAGAGTTTGTCTTACAACCTTTCCACGGACCAAGGTGAGGCTGATTGGCCTTTTGTTCTCTGAATCCTCTTCCTTCTGCTTTTTGAAGACAGGGGTGACATTTGCCTCCTTTCCCATCCTGGAGACGTTCCCAAATTGCTGTGCCTTTCCAGTGGCAGGGAGCAGCCTTGCAGTGGCTTTAATCTGCTTTCTCAGTGCCCCCTCTGAAGCATCTCACGTGGTCCCATCGACACTTCTGTGTGTGCAGGTGGTCCCTACTTTGATTCTTTTTTTCTGCTGTAGGTAAAACACCTCACCTGTCACTGGGCATGGAACCCCAGGGAGCCTGATCCTGCCGGTAAATGCTGGGGTGAAAATGCCCTGGGAGGAGCATCAGCCCTTTGCATGTCCCGTGTCAGTAAATTTACCCAGGATGTCCCTGGTTCTCCTTGTGTAAAATCCCTTCTTGTGGCTCTTGCCAGAGCTCTTGAGTTTTGGCTTTCCATGCCTGCCTGCCTGCCTGCCTGGGCAGTGTTTCTGTGCTGATGTTTGCTCCTGATTACACCCTGCACACGTTGTTCCCCCTTGGCTCATCGTAATCGGTTCTCGCAGCGTCGGGGTTGTTCCGAGGCTCATTTTGGGCTCACCCTGCTGCACCACTCCCTCCACCTCAGCTCAGAGAGGATTCCTTGCAGGATAGCTGCTGTCCCTGACCCACACCTGCAGGAGTTCCCTGCTGCGAAGAGCAGTCTATTTTATTATTTTATTATTCCACGAATAATATTCGTCTGTGGTTTTTGCTGATTGATTGAAAATTATTTCCTCTGTTTATTCAGTCTTTCCTGGTTGGCAGTGTAAGGTTAACATGTTTGTTGTGGAAAACTGGGAATTTCCCAGCCCTTTTCCTCCCCCAGCAAGCAACAGGAAGCTGGTTTCTGGATTTTATTGGGAGAATCACTGTGTGTATAGTCTGGCTGATACTTTCAGGTTCACTTTCAGTTCTGTACTTTTGTTCAGTCTATTTGTTGGCACAAGGGGAAGCTTTGACACAGATTTACCAAGCTCTCAGATTCCAGCCTGTGTGTACTCAGAAATTAATCTCTCAGGGGTCACAGATAGCTTGAAGAAAAGTAAAAAAAAAAAATAAAGAGAGGAGGAATGCTGAGTTTGTGTTGTCAGCAGAATGTGATGGCATCAGGGCTGTGGAATCTGGGATGATGAGTGTCAGGAATGCCTCCAGCAAAGAGCTGGATTCCTGCTCTCCTCGTTAGGGCAGAGGGATGTTTGGCAGCAACTGGCATATAATCACAACACTGCTTTGGGAGTTAAACCTGATTCACTTTCAAGCAGAAGTTAAATTATTGGTTGAGTTCCTGCCTCTCAGGGCACATTGGTGGAATATGGCTTGGAGCTCCTGGGGTGATGCAGCAGGGCTGTTCCACCATCACCTGTTTGTTTACCTGCATGAAAGGTGACCTTGGATCTTCTGCATTTTGGGTGGCTCTCAGAGCTGCTCTTCCAGAAGCATCAGAATCCATTTACATTCTCAAGGTGTCATTGATTATATTAGCTTCAAACTGCAGGATTAGTGTATTTCTCTTTTAATTTTCTTTTTTTTTTTTTTTTTTAAGCTGGTACATAGTTCCCTTTATACATCCCAGAAGGCCCAGCAATTTCAGCCAGACTGATTATTCATGAAAAAAAAAAAATAAATAATTACTTTTTAAAATATGGACTGTTTATTTGTGTGTTTAAGGTCGTTTTTGATATCTTGGCTGGGAAACACAGCCTGTACTGTGTCAGAACTCTTATATCATACCTGGTGGAAGGAATAAACTGGCTGATAAAAACACAACAACTGTAATGTGTTTATGTTGGGCATAGTTTCAGACTCGAAGGAAAATATTTGAGTAACAAATGTTCCTCTTCCTTCAGCAGTGGAGACAGTGAAACATGGAAAAGGTGATCTGTTCATGGAATTTGGCCTTGCAGGAGAATGACACTCCAGAGGCTCCAAGAATGACAGTCCAAAGGACTTATGGAAGAAAATCTCTTGCTCTTTTTATTTTAAATTACAACACCTCCTTCTTTTTACTCTTTGGTTGCATCCAGGGAACTTCCAGTGGCATCAAGTACGAAGCTGAAATAGTGTATTTAGAAGGGCTTTATTCTGATTTATTATTCTGATTTCCTCTTTGGTTTCAGGAGGTTCTGAGCTCATTTTCAGCCTTTCAGGTATCAGCAAGGCAGAGCACCTATTTTGCTTTTCCCAGAGTTTATAACTGGATTTATCCAGGCATTCCTTCCCAGGCTGTTTCTGAGAAGAATGAACCCTCTGCTCAAAATCCCTCTGCAATCAGATTTTTAGAATTATTTGGCTTATATCTGGATTTCAGAACTGCTTTGAGAGAAGTTCTACCTGCCAATACATGCCCATGAATGGGCATTTAGGTTTAGACTCATTTGCACCGTGTCTCGTGTGTTATTAAGGTGATGCCCAGACTCTCTGAAACTGGTTCTGTTCTTAGTCTTTGGTGGGAATCAAAGATGCCTTTTCGACCTTGGAAAAACCTGCAGAAAGAAAAGCAAAAGGAAACGTAGTTTCCACGTGCAATTTTGGTTTCTCTGTGTAGAAATTTCAGTGATGTGATGGATGATTTGCACTCTTATTCTGTTCTCTCCTGTCCCTCTGCAGTGAAAAAACAATAATCATGCAACCTTCTGTACTGTGAGTTTGGGAATGCTGCTGATATTTTCACTTCCCTTGCAGGCCATTCTTTTATAACCCATGAACCAGGATGTTGTATTTTAGCTCTGTGTGGTACTATTTTGTTTCCAGCAGGACAGTCACCCCTCTGTGCCCAAACACACCTGCAATCCCTGCCCTCTTTGGTTGCTTTAGAAGCCAGAACATCTTTACAGAGAGTTTTTCATCTGGGCTTTGGTGTGTCCCTGCAGAAAATAAGCATTTGGATTAACAACAGCCTCACACCAGGATTGGGGTTAAGAGCAGAAACACCTGCTTTGCCTCCTCAGTTCATAAAATATTTATTGGGTGCTGCTGTTTACACTGGGATAAAGTCTGGCCTGCAACCTGAAATCCTTCCTCGCTGCTTGTTTTCCCGACTGTCAGGATTCACGATGCCCTCTCTTCCACTGAGCTATGCAAAGCTCCACACCTATGTTTTGAAAATCATTACGTGCAATTTGCACGGGGAGATGAAGCAGCTTTATTTGTATTTATTGCTGTCATTAGCACCTTCTGTTTGTCAAGAGAACGAATGCAAATCTGCCAGCCAGGGGCAGGAATGGAACAGAAATGTTTGGGACAGCTTGCAACAACCTGCTGTGCCTCTGCTTATCGCTGCAGATTGCAGGGCCTGACTGAGGGAGGCTGCACGTGTGTCCTGAAGAGCTCCTGTATATCTATGTTTATGCTAAAAATATTTCTGGATTTATGAATCTGAACCTAAGGGAAAAAAAAAAAACAACAACGTTGTTGTTACAATGTCCTTGCGCTGTTTTGGTCAGGAGTGCATTTATAACTCAGCCCTTTGCTGGCTTTGCAAGAGCCAAGTCAAGTCTTTGGGACTTGTGATGTCCTTGGCACCAGTGGTGAGAGCCAAGAGGCACTTGCTGGTGCTCTGTCAAAGGAGGGGAGGAAAAACACAGGGAGGCAAAAAAAAAAGGATGGGGGAAAGGCAGGGTGAGGAAGACAAGAGCAGGAAAAGATGGGAAATGACGTGGAAACAGGGCAAGATGGGAGTGGATGTACAAATTAGAACATGGAGCAGATGACCAAGGAAAAAACTGTGGGAAGCAGTGGGGAACAGGGACAGGACGAGGGACAAGAGTTACAACGAGCAAAAGGAGCTTGGATACTGAGTAGGATTAGAAGTTTCAGCTCTTTTGGATCTCTGCAGCCTCCTGATCCACCAACTCCTTCACCAGCACAGGGGGACCTGCAGGCTGAGCACGGGCAGGCTCTGCTCTGCAGTTGGGGGGTGTCTGGAACACACAGAAAATCAACATCACTCTGGCCAGTGGCACTTGTGTTCAGGGTGCAGAACAAAGTGTAGCAGATAACGATTTCTCCTCCTGCAGGGTGGGTTTGGCAGTAGGAAAATTGGGAAGCCCTCCTCTCCAAAGGTGGGAAGTGCCAGAGCTGTGCTCAGCCCTGTGGTGTTCATTCAGCCCTCCTGTGCTCTGATTCACCCTCACAGGGTATTTTCCAGTGCCAGAACACCTCACTGACAACTGTGCTTTACCTTCCAGAGGGCCTGTGGACCTCCCTTGCTGATGGCAGAGTCAGACTGAGAATGGATAATTCGTGTCCCCAGACTCCCATAACGGTCCATCAGATGTTCAAGGAGAGCCTGGAAAAATACGGGTCCCTTTACGCTTTGGCCAGCAAAAAGAACGGCAAGTGGGAGAAAATAACTTTTTCAGAGTATTATTGCCTCTCCAGGAAAGCAGCCAAGAGCTTCCTGAAGGTGGGTACAGCAAACAAAGCCGTTTCTTTTTCTCCCTTTGTCTCCTTTAAAAACAAACAAACAAACAAACAAACAAAAACCCAAATAAGCAATAAAAAAACCCAAACCCAAAACTGTAAGAGGCTTTACCCATTACTTGAAGATCGGTAGTCGTATTTTTTTATCGAAATAATGATGGAAATGGGTCAGGGGAGCCTGGCTGCAAGTGAAGAGCTGCTGTGTTGCGCTGTCTCACTGTGGGACAAGGGCACAGAGCTCAGCATGAGGCTCTTGAGATTAAAACCAGAACCCCAGGGGAAAGCAGTGCTGTCATGAATTTGGTGAGATAAAGACAATTTCTAAATATTGGTCCTCATTATGTCTTGTTCATCTTGAACTGTTGTGGGTTTCAGGCCTCTCTGAGCAGCAGAGCTCAACCAGCCAGTGGAAAAGTGACATCATGTTCCTGCTGGTAAATGCTGGGGCAGGGGTGTGTGTGGACATGCCCTGTCAATACTGCAGCAATACATCAGGAGTTTCCATCAGGAGTTTGTGTCTTTGTTCCCCTCCAGTGTGCCTACATTTTATAACCTCATGCTTGTTGTTTTTCAGCTCGGTCTGGAACGATTCCACAGCGTAGCAATCCTTGGATTTAATTCTCCAGAATGGTTCATCTCAGCTGTGGGAGCTGTTTTTGCTGGGTAAGATTTTTTTTTGGGGGGGGCGGGGGAAGGATGGGGGGTGTTGATTTTGAAGGGGCTTTGGGGATTTCTGTTTTGCTAGAGGTGGAAATGCAGCAAATAAGCATTTGCTGTCATCTTTTGGAAGTTGTGTTGCTGCTGATTGGCATGTTCAGCGACCTGCTGGAGTCTCTTATCTGAAATAGTCCAGACACTCCTAAGTTGATCCTGTTTGCCGGGGGTTTAACTGTGACAGAAGCTGTTGTACAGTGTCACCTCACTGGGAGATGTGGGACACAGATGAGGCTCACAGTTTTATATTAATGATATTTGTCTGCAGCAAGAAATGTTCAAGTAGATGAAGTAACAAATAAAGATTGGCCAGCCTGATTCCTTCTGTCCTGACACCTCTTTACACAGTTTGGGTTTTACTTCTTGAGCTGTTCTGTGCCAGTGAAATCCAAACTGGTGCCTGTGTGCAGCTGGAACAGAAAGAGGACATGACTGGGCATTTTTTACCACTTCCTGAGCTGACTCTTGTGCAGCCTCAGGTGGGTTCAGACACTGAATCCCAGCCCACAGCACCTTCTGCTGAATGGAGTTCAGAGATTAGTATTTGCAATGTGCATAAATCAGAGATTTAGATAAATATCTAGATCTGAATACATGAAATAAATGTGCTGTGTTTGCTTCTACATCTTCACACTCTTTCAGCTTTCATCTGAACCTTGATTATTACTCTTTTTTTGGTACTAAGTACATGTATATGTGTGTGTATGTGTATAAATATGTGCTCATGTGTAAATATATAAATTTTTTGATTCAGGGGAATTGTCACAGGAATATACACCACCAATTCTCCAGAGGCCTGTCACTACATTGCTCATGACAGCAAAACCAATGTCATGGTGGTGGAAAATCAGAAACAGCTGGAGAAGATAATGCAGGTACGAGGTGGCTGCAGGGTTAATGGAAAGCCTGGATAGTTTTTTCATTTCTCCATGCTGTGTTGGTCCCAGCCACCATGTGCACTCTCTGCATCATGGAACCTCTCATGGGAGTGTTCTGACTCAGAAATCCAGTGTCTGGTGCTTGAGCTCGTGGGTCCTGTCCTCTCCAGGCTCTGTGGCTCCAGCAGAGCTCCCTGGATGGTTCCCTGCAGCCTGCCCTGAAAAAACTCACCTTTGGATCCCACATTTACGCTGTCACCACCTGCTTCTGTTTGGCAAAGCACAGCCCACTTGAACAAAGAGATTACACTGGTGCAGGTTTGTGTAAAAGGCCTGCACTCCAAACATCAATGTGCCAGTGTTCAGGAATTCCTCTTGCTGAGGGAGCATCTTATCCTGCTTGTCATATCTTGGATTAACCATCAAACCTCTTGAGTTACTGCATGGTGGGTAAATGAGTTATGAGGTTAAATATATGTGGTTAAATAGCATGGTGGGTAAATGAGTTGCATGGTTAAATATATATGGTTAAATAGCATGGGGTTAAATGAGACAGACCTTAGTGAGAAAGGCGGAGGAGCTTTTTTAGGTGAACAGTCCCAATTTTGACACAACCCCTGAGCAGCCCTGACTGGGTTTCAGCAGCAGTGCCAGAGGGAAAGACCAATTTAACAGGAGGATTCTGGAATGCAGGACTTGGGGAGGAGCCCAGAACAGGGAGCAACCTGGGAAGGGTTTGTTTGTCCGTCACATGTTGAGGGAGGCCCTGGCTGGAGATGACCCATCAAACTTGCACCAAACTTTATGCTCTGATTTGTCCTTATGACTCCCTTGCCTTTTTACCTCGAGGAAATAGAATTTTTTTTTAGCACCTGAACCCCAGTTTTTTTGCTGAGGGACTTTATTGCCAACCACAGCAAGCTCCCAGCTTGGTCTGTGCTGCTCCTCACAAGTTGAGCACTGTGAGCAAGGATGCTGAGGAGCCATTTGGGGTGTATTTTTGGGGGTTTTTTTATAACTTTTAACTGAACCAGATTTTCCAGAGCAGACTGTGCAGATTGTGTAGCCCCCTCCTCCTTCCCCTGCCTCTCGTTGAGCTCTCTGGGAGTGACTTCAGGGGAGAATATTTGGGGGTGGAGGGAAACAGGAGGGGGTTTTTGTGCCTGTCAAACCATTACAATTTTGGCAGTATTTTAGTGGGGAAGAAGAAAAAAAAAAAAAAAGCCCACACAAGAGATGAATAATAAATAATAAATTTGTTTTTAAAAACCCAACAGATCTGGGATCGTTTGCCACACTTGAAAGCTGTTGTGCTATATAAGGACTCCATTGCAGAGAGACATCCAAATTTATATACGGTATGTGAGTGCTAGAACAGACTTACAATTCAGGGGGCATTATTTAGTGGAGAAATTTCCACTCTGCTTTGTCAGCAGAGTGTCATTTAGAATGCACTGCTGTGTTCCAGCAAGCCCGTTCAAAAGCTTCATCAGCTGTTTCTGTTTCATTTACCTGTAATTTCACGTCTGATGTTTTACATTTAAAATTAGACATACCTTGCTTAGCTTTATCTTGTGTTTTCTTGGTGTTTAAATTCACTGGATTATTAGAACACCTGTTATTCCCACCTCTTCAGGTGGGAAGGTGTGCTCTCCAATGGTTCAGAATAAAAGTTGGCCCCTGGTGAAAACTGAATTGTGGATCCAAGAACGTGGGAATGCACCTTTTACAGATGATGGCTGCATTTTGTTCGTACCAAATGTTCCTGGTGATGGGCAACAAGTGAAGAGAAAGGACTGTGGACTGCACAGAGCAGCGCATTTGCTTAGTACATGTAGAATATTCATGTTACGGGTTAAAAATGAAAGAAAGAAAGACAAAACCAGGATGAGAAATTTCGGAGGGGTAGAAATTCAGCCTTTAAGAAGTGTGAGGGCTTTTGGAAACGTGTTATTCCGATATATTTTGAAAATATAATTGTACCTCAGTAATCCTTCGGCAAGAAGAATAACATTCTTCTTGGGCTAACATTCACACATCTAGATAATGATGCTTTTGCAAAGAAGCTTTCATCCAGTTGCTTTATAGTCATATTTATGTAGACTACAATGAATTTTCTGTGAGGTGGCACAAGGGTGCACTCACCTAAAAGTGCTGCATCCAGATTCCTTCAGATAAGACTCAAAATCATTCCTGCGGTGTGAGAGAGCAGCAGAATTCCAGCCTCCACGGCTGATCCCTGGATCCACACTGGAGGAGGAACAGCATTGCTGTTGCCTTCTCAGACACTGAAAAGACTCGTGACAGCACAGTCTGTTTGCAGTTCACACATCAGGTGCTGAGCTAGACTGGCCAGGTTTGTTACGCAGGCAAGATCAGGGCGATCTTGCCTTAGATATGTGTTCAAACAAGGCCCTGAAGTGTTCTGCCGTTTTTGGGAGGGGAAAGATGCAGAACTGTATCAATTCATAACACTGTATTTTCTGTCACACTTTCTAGATGGAGGAGTTCCTGGAGCTGGGACGTGACATATCTGATGCTGCTCTGGATGACATCATTAACTCCCAACAGCCTAATCAGTGCTGTGTGCTCATTTACACCTCTGGGACAACTGGGAAGCCCAAAGGAGCCATGCTGAGCCATGACAATGTAGGTACTTCAGGCTGTCTCTTGAGCAGAGAAAACAGCAAAACATGAGGAAATTTATCCCTGTGGGTTTGAAATGACTGGACACACCAGAGCCCTGAAAACCCTTTTGCTTTTACAACATGGTAAAACATTGCTTGGAGTGTTTCTGGTAAAAAGTACCAACAAGGAAAAGAATGGAACTCCCTTCAAACCAGCACTTCACGAGCATGAACAGTTCTTTGTGGAGGTGACATTTTTATGCACTGGATTTCTGGTGAGATCTAATGCATATATTCATAAATAAAATTCGCTGATCGACACAAAGTCTCTCAGGGGATGCAAAACAAATCACAGGCATCAGCCAGCTGCTATCAAAACAGCCTGATGGAATCTGCTTTTGCAGATTTCATTGAAATTGGAGGTGGATGTGTGTCGTCTGTGCTTTGGCATTTTGTGTTCCTGGATCTGTGTGCAGATTCCTGCACCTGTCACTGGGGGATAACACAGCTCTGGTGCCCAGTGCTGGTTCTACAATAGCCCTACCTGCACTCTTGCAGACAGAAAATTTCCACTTACAGAGAAAAACAAGTTGTTTGCAAAATGGAATTTTCACAGAGGTCTGCTAGCAAAGGTTTGAAGTGCAGTTGTTTTGGGAGCTTATGTATTTAATTTTTCATAAGGTGGCTGAGTGGGAGTGGAAGATGGAAGGAGAATCTGTGAAGGGGCTGGTCTAAGTTGTGGCCTCTCCCCTTAAAATAAAGCAGAAATTCTTGCAGACATGCACAGTGTGAACAGCAACTCACCCAAATGCAGGGAATTACTACAGTAGTATCTGGAAGCAGAACACTGTGCACTTGGTAGACAAAAAAGACTGACGTGACGTGTCAAATCCGTGCTCTTCTATCTCAGAGCAGTCTGGTGTCATTTCCATGCCAGCTGCCCAACTATTCTTGGCTGCTGATCACAAACAGGCTATTTTTATGTTGACAAACACTGGAAGGCATGCCCTGCCTGGAGCTGGGCTGCTGCCTTCTTTAGGCAAAGATGTTTGCCACTGTCCCTGGGGCAAAACCTCCTGGGAGGTTTGGAGGGCAAGCAATGAATGGACACATCTGAAACACATCCCATTTTTCCTGCTGTGTGAGTGTCCCATGGCAGCTTGTCCAGTGCTGCCCCTACACCTGGAGTGGCCTGGCCTGGCATTAAACCCCTCTCCTGAGAATCCTCTGTTTCCTCAGACCAAGTGTACACTTGTACCTTCTAATTTATTGCAGAGGAGGTGGCAGGGACATGCTCTGATAACAGGTATCACCTGGGATTTGTGTCTGTGCTCTGCCACCTTGAATAACCTCATTCCTCTACCCAGTTTAAGTTACAGACTCCTCAGGGAAAGAGCTGTTTCTTTTTCTTGGTTGGGGTTTTCTGGTTTGTTTGGGTTTTTTTTTTTTTTTTTTTTTGAGAGGTGTTGTTTGGTTTGGTTTTTATTTGGTTGGGTTTTTTTGCACATACATCTTTTCCCTGACCTCTCATACCATCACACTTATATTTGTGGGTCTTCCATATGCTGTGTTCTGATGATGGAGATACGCACATTTAGCATCCTTGAACTGCATCTTCTGACATAAAGTGGGAAGAAGTGGGGGGAAATATCATCCAGCTTCACTAAGAAGTGAAGCTCAAAATTATTAATGTATGTGCTGCCTCTCATAAGAGGGAGGGTGTGAATGGATGTGCCACTTGAGAACGCCTGTGGTGAATATCCCAGAACTTCCAGAGGAGCAGAGCCAGCTGCTGTCACCCTCCTCAGTGTTTGGCCAGGAGGATCAATACAGGACAACGAGCTCTTTGCTGACACTGAATTGTCCTTTGAGCTCACTGATCGCTGAGTATTTATTGTTGGTTTTCAGGTAAATGTGTAGATACATCACTGGTGCAAAGTGCCAGTTTAACAGAAAGTCTGCACAGCAGGAGAGCTGCAAAGGAAGGGGCAGATCCCTTTATCCTTGTCCATCCAGCCCGTGGTGCCTGCTCAGTGTGTCACTGGGGTGGGGGGTGTTGGTGTTCATAGCCCAGGCAGGCAGCAGGAACTCTGTGCACTTGTATAATATGCACTTCTGTGTTGCTGTGAAGGTCAGCTGAGTGTCCCCAGGGACTGAGAGCCGCTATTGCAATGCCTGCAGCAGTTTCTGTGGGCACAGGTTATTCACAGCTCCATTAGTGTGGCGTGAGGGGTCCTTAGTTCCTGTTCAAAGGAGAAAACAAATAAAACCCCCAATCCAACCCCTTCCCCTCCCAATACCAAATGTGTCTTATTATTCATTCCAACAGATCACTTGGACATCAGCACACTGCAGCAGAGCAGGAGATATGCAACCTGCAGAGGTGCAGCAGGAGTCCATAGTCAGTTATCTCCCTCTCAGCCACATCGCTGCCCAGATCTATGACCTGTGGACTGGCATCAAGTGGGGAGAGCAGGTCTACTTTGCTGAGCCAGATGCTCTGAAGGTATCCTGCCTTGCATCTAATTAAGATCGCACTCCTTTCTGTTGGAAAGCATCCTGGGGAGAGAATAGGATCCTTGAGGAGTGGGAAAGGGTGAAGATTGAGCGTCTGTTATTGTAAGGATGATGAAGTCCATTAGGTTTGTGATCCAGAGCTCTGGATTCCAATGAAAATATGTAATCCAGATCCATAAGGTTCTTTTAAGGCAAATGAATAGGCATCTAAAGCAAAAGAAATCTGAGCAATTTCGAAGGAGAAACTTAACCCACCTGTGTGTTTTCCTCCTGCTGTAGAAACCTCCTGACACGTGTCAGTGCATGTGCCTGACTGAAGGAGGTTCAGCAATCCTTCTTTATATCCTGAATATTTCTGATGTCCTACATCCCTAAACATGCAGGTTTGGCATCACCAAACCTCTTTAGCTCTGCTGCGTGCCTTTTTGCAACGTTTTGAAGTTCATTTAATGGTTGTGACAGGGCAGCTTGATCAACACCCTGAGAGAAGTGCAGCCAACATCTCACATGGGGGTGCCCCGAGTCTGGGAGAAAATCATGGAGAAATTAAAGGATGCTTCTGCTCAGGCCGGATTTGTGAAGAAGAAGATGCTGTCATGGGCTATGTCCCTTAGCTTAGAGAGGAACCTGAATGGCTCAAGCAGGTATGTATTACAGAGGGTGGGACTTGCAGCAACCTGAAGGTAGCAATCTGCTTGTGATGAACTGTCAAGCCTCACTGAGACTCTAAATGGGTAAAATTTGGCCTGGCAACACAGCAAATATGATGCAAGAGGGAGGGGGTGTTTATCACTTACTGTAGCTGATCTTGAACACAGGTGAGCGTCACAAGTGTCTCTCCCTCCTGCCTGACACAGCCCCTGGCTGTGCTGGGACTGAGCAGGTTGGTGTTCAGCTGGGACAGTTCCTGGTATTCTGAAGAGCAGCGGTGTTTTTCTCCGTGAGATTGCCCAGATAAATAAGGTTGTATAAATTCAAATACTAATTTAGTTCACACTTCTTTCCTCTCCCAAAGTTCTTTAAAGCATGACAGTGCAACGAAGGGTGAAACTGCTTATGGAAAATGACATTCCAAAAGGTCATTCCATGCATGTGCTTTGCTTGTCTGATTGTTCCTGCCAGTGTCAGATTTTAGTGGTGTAGGTTCTCAGAGACGCAAACTGATGAAGAATCATGAATACAAGAGCTGTGTTGTGTACAATATGTCCCTAGAGATTCTTTATGTATTTGCTGTATTCAGATAGCTCAAGAGTTGGGGGTGGGAAAGTTGGAGCAATGAAAGACACTGAATAAATGAAAAAAAGGATGAAAATGTAACATAACTTCTGTCAGCACCCAAACCCAAATGATAGGTACACCTCTAAATGAAACTTGTGCCTGATTTTGTCCTGAAAACTTCCTAGGTTGCTCTGACTTGTGTGTTTTGTGCTCAGCAGTGACCTCAAGCAGCTCTGGGCGAGGCTGGCAGATTACCTGGTGCTGGCAAAAATCCGCAGTGCCCTGGGCTTCTCCTGCTGCCAGAAGCACTTCTGTGGTGCTGCTCCTCTCCCCACAGAAACACTGCACTTCTTCCTGGGCCTCAACATCACCCTGTACGAGGCCTATGGCATGAGTGAGACCACGGGCCCGCATTGCCTCTCTGGGCCTCACATTTACAGGCAGAACAGGTAATTTTATCTTTATTATTATTATTATTGTTATTTTAATATGGCCTGTTTCATTGTAGCTGTGAAAAGAGCATTTCCTAAGGCCAGCAAAGATCTTATGGCTTATTTTCTTTCTCTCTGAGTGCACTGTCACCCTGCTGTGCCTTAGGGAGTCACAATAACCTGCAGGTCAGAAGCTGAGCGTGTTGCCAGGCCAGGAGCACTGACAGTGAGCTGACAGCATAACGTGCAGATAAGTTCCTAAATCTGACTTACATTGTAGCCCTGGCCCAGGGCAGGATAACTTTCAGATGCAAGACCTCAAATACAAAAGTGGGGGGAAAAACCAGCAAGCCCAGACAAGCCAGACTGTCAAAAAGTGCTTGGATACTCCAGCACCTCTGCCCCGGTGAATTGAATATTCCATGGCTGTCAAACAGTTTCAGCAGGTGTTGTTTGCAGTGTTTTGGTACTTTCAGGGCTTTGGCATGTTAGCCATCCCATCAGTGTTGTGTTTGATGTGTCTGTGCTCCCTCTGGGGTTTCTCTGCTCCTCTCTGATAGCTGTGGCAAACCAGCACCTGGATGCAGAGTGAGACTGGTGGACAAGGATCCAGAAGGCAACGGAGAAATCTGCTTCTGGGGAAGGACTGTGTTCATGGGTTATTTAAATATGGAAGACAGAACAAAAGAAGCCTTTGATGAGGAGGGTTGGCTGCATTCTGGAGATTTAGGAAAGCTGGACAAGGATGGCTTTCTCTACGTCACGGGAAGAATCAAAGGTAATGGGCCAAGCCCTGCTCGGTGTTGTGGTGCCTGCTCAGCACTGTTCAGTCTGATGGCAGGTGAGGTCACTAATGAAGTGTTTTCCTCTCTGCCAGCAGCACTGCCCTCACAGGAGGGTCAAATAAACTTCCCCAGGAGTGTGCTGTGTGTTCAGGGGAGGTTTCCCTCCAATCTGTAATAGGTGGAGATGATTCAGTTCCTACAGTGAGGCTTTGTATCTCCCAGACCTTCACTCAGTATTAATTACAATTAGCAATATAAACTACCACCGTGGTGTCTGATTTAAACGAGTCATGAAGCCATCCAGGCTCCCTTTGCATCTTGCTAAATTATCCTAATTGCACATTAGAATGTTTAGACAGCAAGGAGAGGACACCTGTGTTGTCTGGAAGCTGTTGCTGTAGGTCAGGGGTAGATTCCACTGATGCCCCAGGTGATGTGTTTGCAGAGAATTGAAGATGAAGAGCAGAAGGGAAAGTTCAAACTAAAGCACTGAACTGAGGTGTCATTGCAGTACATTGACAGAAGTGTCGATGGGAGCCAGACTTGGTTTACTTGGGAGCTTTTTTTTCCCAAAACACACTCAAGGAGTGGGATTGGTCACGGGCAAGATGAGGCTGAGGAAGATTTTAGAATTGAGTATCATCCCAGATGGTGAGTCACGAGGGAGATAGCGTGGATGGGTGAGTCTGTCCCAGGTGGCATCATGTCCTGCTAGGAATCAGGACTTAGGTTGGTTCTATCAATAGCCTGCACCAAAGGCAGATATCTTGGTTTTAACTTGCTGTCTTGTCTGATTCATTTTCCTTTAGTGTAGCAGTTGACAACCCCTCGTCTCAATCCATCTGAACATTTGTGTTTCTCTTACATCTGCCTTGCTTGCTGAACTAAAAGCAATTACTCTAAATTACAGGATGGGTAAACCATCTGGGATAACATAACCATATGCCCAGTTTCATTAAAGTTTTAAATTCAAGTCCAAATAAGGTAAAATCTAATAGAAAAAAATGTAATGAAAGCAAAGAGTTGGGATTTACTCAGAGAATAGTCAAATTTGTAATAATTTCACTGAATATGCACGTCCTACTTCAGAACAAAGGTATTCAAATAAAAATACACATTATCAACAGAAGGAGGTGTCACTACCATTGTTTACAAACCAGATTCCAGTCTGTCACTGCATTCCCCTCGTGTCAAAAGGAGGGCAGCAGTCACTCCTTCCTCTCCAAATTTCCTCTCCTGGCTTCTCCCCCACACTCCTCCCTCCCTCTGCTTTTATGGAGCCTTCCTGCAGTAGTAACTTATTTTTGTCTGACCCCTCTTGGTGGGTTTAAGAATTGGTTTTAATCACGATGTTAACAATGAACTTGCTTTTTGGTGAGGTGGCAACAATAAAACAGAAGGGGAATCCTGTGCTAATGTGGGAGAGATGATATCTCACAGGAAAATTCCAGGTTAAGTTATAGTGATTTGGGAATAACCTGCTACTGGATTATGTGAAACATTATCTGGACCAAATATGTTATACTGAGGGAGATCTGAGAACTTGAGCATGTCTGGAAAATAGTAGCATTTTTGTTTAGAAGGTAATGAGTAGGATTTGTTGTCTTTGAAAAAACATCTTGGGGAAAAAAAAAATGTCAATTATTCTTAATGTCAGAATATGGAAAGCAGGTCAATCCTGGAATTTATTTGAGTTCAACTAATAGCCTTTCTCTTTTTTTTTGCCTAGATTTGATTATTACAGCTGGAGGTGAAAATGTGCCTCCCATCCCAATTGAAGATGCTGTTAAAAAAGAGCTCCCCATTGTCAGCAACGCTATGGTGATTGGGGATAAAAAGAAGTTTTTGTCAATGTTCCTGACCCTAAAGGTAAACCAGCTTGTGGTGACATTACACCCCTGCACCTAAAGGAAGAATAATTGTGAACCATTTGTAAAGAGACCTAAAATGACATAGGACAGCAAGTACAAACTAAATCCTGCTGGGTCCAAACTTCTGCTCACATGATCTGCTGAACATCTACATATTCACTGCTGCTTCTCCTGGGTGTATAAGAAGAGCTATTTTCTATTTAAATGCAAGCTTTTTAATTAAGAAATGCTGAAAGATTAAGAAGTCCCTGTACAATAATAGGTTTTATTCTGACAGACAAGCAAAGCCAACCAACGTTTCTGTTGCAGGCAAACCCAGAAATTTCCCAACCGAAGCATTTCTCTGCAACTTGGTATTTTTATAACACGAGAAGGGTGACTGTAGAACAAAATAATTAATGGCCTTGCTGTGGTACACAATTCTCTTCGATTGGGAAATCACTGTTTTCCTAAAACATTTGCCCTTGGTGTTCTGTGTACCTACTGAGTTCACTTACTGAGGTTTTTTCCAAGCTGTTTACCTCTGTGACTGACACTCCCTATCTCCAGGCACAATAGAAATGCTAATTTGAGAAGTCTTAACTTAAAAGAATGCTTCCATCTCAAGCTGTTTACATTACACCACAGTAATTCCATTTAGCGATGAGCTAAACGTTCCCCTGTGCCGATGGGAGTCATTTGGAAAATATGGCAGAAATTCTCAGTCTGTAGATGGACTCTGTGGCCTGATTCATTCACACATTTCAAGCCCGTTCGTGTCCATATAAGCCAAAAACATTTGCATTTGGCGGCCAGGTGGAAAGAAAAGCACTGCCATCTGTAGGTGTTCCTGCATTTTGAGTGTGTGTGTGTTTATGCTGAGCCCTCTCAGCCGGGGAGGACCCGATCAGGGCACCTTTTAATGCCTTTAAGAGGCAGCATTTGGTGATTCACTTCGTTTGGTCTTTCAGAGTGAGCTGGACCCGGACACATCCGAGCCCACTGACATTCTCACTGAGCAAGCCAGAGACTTCTGCCAGAGGAGTGGCAGTAAAGCCACCAAGGTGTCTGAGATTGTGGCCACCAGAGACCGGGCCATCTACGGAGCCATCCAGGAGGGAATCAACAGGGTCAACAGGAACGCCACCAACAGGGTCCACTGCATTCAGAAATGGATAGTGCTGCCCAGGGACTTCTCCATTTCTGGGGGAGAGCTAGGTAAGATTTATACTGTATACTTTATTTATGCTTTATACTGAGGGACAGTTTTGCCTGCCAGGCTCTGGGTGCAGGGAAAAAACCTTCTGCAGTCTGTGCTAGAGAGTCCAAAAACGGGAGTTTTAGCTGTGTGCACATTTGCAAGTACAGCTCTTGTAGTTAAATCTCAGATTGCTTTGGGTAATTAAGGAATCAATTTTGGCCAATTCCTTGGGCAGTATTAATAAGTTCCAGTAATAATACTGAAAGTTTCTCATTTAAAAAAAAAAAAAAAGAAGCAAGACAGTGAAATCCTCATAATAGAGCCTGAAGCACATCACCAGGCTCTTTGAATGAACTGGGAATTGTTTAAAAGCTTTCAAAAGCATCACTCTTTATTTTTAATGAAAAAAAGTAGCGGTCAGTTATCTGCAGCTCCCTTTGATGTTCCCATGCTTGCGTGGAGGCAGCTTTCCATACCACGCTGGCTTCTCACTTTCAGCATTTACCTACACTCAGCTTGGGGCTCTCCAACAAAAACCTTGGACCCCAAAGCTCCAAGAGGGTGGGAATTTCTGTTCCCATTTCCAGGACTGTGACTCTCTCCCTCTTTTAAGGTCCAACAATGAAGCTGAAACGGCTCTCAGTGCTCGAGAAATACAGGAGTGAAGTCGACTCCTTCTATGAAGAGTAGGAAGTCTTTCATCCAAGCATTAAGAGAGATCTGTGAGCAGAAGAAAGTTATTTTCTAATCAAAAGCATTAATGAAGGGTTATGCCTTTTGGGGGTCTGTAGTCTATTGAACCAAACCACTAGAAAGCTGCTGTGTCAGTGTAGTTGTTCCTGATAATTCACCTGATCATTTGTCCTCTTTTCACAGAAGCATCTGCAGTGTGTCCATTTTCTAATACTGTTTTTACTGTATGACCTACATGATTAAAACATCCTTCTGTGTTGTATAAGCTGAGGATAATCAATTCCTCTAGACTAAAAAACAACCTTTTTTTTTTATATATAGTGATCTTCCCATTTTCCTTTTTCCCTGTTGTCCCCCAGGCCATTGCCCGTAGCTCAGGATACATTTTGGTAGTTGGCAGTGCTGCTTAATAAAACTGCCAGACCACTCCAGTGAGAATTATTTAAACAACAAAAAAATAACCATCAAAAGGGCTGAATTTTTTTCTCCTCCTACACAGGAGTTTGTTGTTGTTCACTAAGACATTTCAGAACTTAAAGGCTTCTCTTCCATTTCTGTAGCAGCTTGTGTGAAAACAGCAGCTCATTTTTAAATCCATGTTGGAATAAGCAGGACTATTTCTCCTTAAAACAGATAATCAAAAAAGTTGGGGGAATAGCTCCCCAAGCAGTAAATACAGGAGCTGTTAAAACAGAAGCTCCTTTAAGATTGCTTACAGTGCTTTTCTTTATTGTTGGCGTGGATCTGCACGTGCCAATACTCACGTTGTGCCAATTCTGGAGCTGCCTTTCTCCTTACCCCTATGAAAAATAAACCATGTAAGGATAAATGAAAATAAAAATATGAAAAATAAACCATGTAAGGTGGAGGGCACGCTGTGCCAGGGGTGTGCTGGGAGTGATCCCTGGCAGGCGGCTCCAGCCCCTGCTCCCCAGAGGAAAACGTGATGTGGAACAGGAAACCATATCCATGGAATTTCCATTCCCAGTCTCATCTTGCAGGCTTAGGATTTGCTGCAAAGTGTCACTAATCAGCTCAACACACAAGGCAAGGTAGCAAGCCTAGGATTATAAAAACCAAATCAAGCAAAGAGGACTTTGAAAAGTTTATTCTTCCCCGTTTTGTGCGCAAGGGTCATTCCGAGGTTCTTTAACAATATTAATCCGAAGGAAAACAAGGAAGCAGCAGCTTGTAAAACACGGAAAGAAACGTTGCCCTATTTATTCACCAAAAGCTCCTCCAACAGGTTGTTAGACTGTCTAAAAAAAGCTGGGCTGCTCACTCTGTCGAGCCACACCAGAAGTCGTTAACTCAGAAACGATTTCAACTCAGAAATAATTTCACCTCTGAAACTACCATCCTAAACCAGTCTAAATAGATGTTACTCCACTTGGTGACTTTCTATGAATAGAATTAAGCTGTAAGAAGCCTGGTTCTGGCAGAAGGGATAATCCTGTGCTGTACTAACACATTTTAAAATACACATTTCCTCGTTGGGGGCACCGATGGAAGATACCTTTGGACACACAGGTCAGCATGACTCGTATGACCATCTGCACGTCATGAAGGAGGGAGGGAGAAGAGTTGCTTTTGCACCCATTGAGCTTGGTAAGCAAGGAAAAAAAATAAGTCTTGGATCCCCTTGAATAGGGATGAAATGTATTTCTGGAACAGAGGCACCAGAGCCAAACAGCTGATCTGCCTTAATCCCTTTAGGACTAGTCCCTTACATTCAGGTGTGAATAAAATTTACCAGTCAATACAGTAGGACACACTGAACAGACTAAGCTACAACACAAAGAGCATGAAATATCTAGGAGAAATCTGCCAAGTTAATACTTTCCCTTCTCACAATATATGGCAGAGGTAATTTTATATGATTTACCCTCATCAGAACTCCGTTGGAAAGGGTATTTCAGAGAGGGAAAACTCGTAAGAATTATTGTGCTCTCTGGATTTGAAAAATAACTTTGCTCCAGCATTAATTCTCACCCCTTGCTAGGTAATGGTTGTGGGCTTTTTAAAAGGACACAAATAGATTAAATCCCTAGAACTTTGTACTTCTTTATTCGTGCCTTTGGTGGGCAGGGCTGTGTTTCATCACCAGACTATCTAATGTGGTTTTCTCCTTGCTTTTGATATGAAATTGCTATTTTAAGTTATTTTATACCCGTTTCTGTTGATGAAGGTCACCTTGTGCTACTGTTAGCCTGAAAACCTTTTCAACTTCAGCAAGACCAATAAAGCAGGTTTTAACCATTTAAGGTGCTTTTACATTTCACTAATTCCGTTACTGCTTTACATTTGCATAACATAATTTTTCTTGGTGGAAAGTAAAACCCTCTAACTGAAATGGAAAATGGTAGACAGTTACAGTGCCAATAAAAGAATTCACTTACATAAAAATGTTCACCAGATAGAAAACAAACAAACAAAAAAAAAATAAATAAGACAAAGCACTTGGAAAAGTCCACTGAAAGCAGGCACAAGCATCATTTGTAGCCATTTGGACTAAATTTATTAATGGAGAGGCCTTAACTAAAAAGTTTGCTCTCAAGAGCTCAGCAAACTCTCTGCATGTGGATGTCGGGTTGGTGCCCTCCGAGGGGAGCTCAGTCCTTGTCCCGCACCCGGCGGCAGATCTCGTCCGTGAACTCCGAGCACTTGGCATTGCCCCCCAGGTCCTTGGTCAGGATCTGAAAGGGAGGAAAAATGGCATCACTGGAATGTTTCAGGGGGATTGTCCTGTCCCTGGGTGTGTTCTGACAGGTGGTGCATGGACAGTGAGCAGGGGGGGGGCAGGAATTGTGCAGCCCACGCAGAGCTCATCCCTAAGGATGGCACAGAAATGGGGGGATCAACATGAAGTACTTTATTTTATCAAATTTGAACATGATTTTATCTTAACTGCAGGAAGAAAGTGTGTTTGGTCAAAGCTCTACAAACTACTTATTACACTAATAGTGTAATTAATTGTTAAGTATTTAAGCTTTCAGTAAGAAGTTTGGAAGTAAAATTCCTAAATGAAGGCACAGCACTAATTGAGAGTAATTCATAAAGTTTTTTTTTTAATTTGCTTTGCTTTGCTTTGTTTTGTTTGTTTGTGTGAAGGAAACCCACCCAGAAAAAGCACACATAACTCTTAGTTAACAATTCTTTAAGTTTGCTCAGTTTAGTTTAGACATGGAAAATGTAGAGTTTAAACATCTTTGTCATCAACTACAACTCCTGGGTGGAAGCATTAAGAGAGTGAAATAAATGTGGGCAACACTGCTAATTTATCTAACCTAGATAACTTTAAATCATTAGTTTCTCCCTTACATGACACACACATCTCTTAATTAAATTTAGAGGGGAGGGAGGAATAGCAGCATGAGAAGCCATCCAGGTTACTGGTGTAGGTTCTTGTAATTTGAACTGCATTAAAATTCAATTAAAAAGATTCTCTCCATTGTGAGCAGATAATCATAATGTTGTAACTAACTGGTAAATGAGTAGCCACGTCACAAAGCTTGCACTGTGTTATCTTCCATAGAATTCCCGACCTGCAGAGGGAGGATTCCATTTCCAGAGCAGTAAATGGGAACTTTACAGGAGCACCTTTTTATTCACTTGTAAGTTTAGGTGGTTTTTTTTAACACAGGAAGGTAGCTGCAAACAGACCACTTGCAAAGGGATGACAACTTCTGGTTTCAGCTTGCTTGTTATTTTAAATTACCAAGCAGCTTCTCGTGGTCCTGCTAAGGTAACTGAACCAGCACAGAGCTAACTGCTCATCCTCCTTAACTGCCATCTCCAGGATCTTTCCAACTATGTTTTGAAAAGATGGCCATCAAAGCAGAGGAGTGAACCAGTAACGGTAAGAGCACAAATTCAACTCAAATTTCAGAGCATAAGTCCTTCCTCACCCCCCAAATACCCTGTTTGAGTCTTAAATCTGGAGACGCTTCCTGTCAAAGGGAAATCTTGTAAAATCTTCAGGGAAAAGGTAAATATTGGATAAAAACTGTTCTTTTGTAGTTCAAAAAGGAGTGAAAGCAGTAAGGAAGAAAAAAAGAAAATAACTGAGCTGAAAAAAAAAAATAGGAACAGAGGTATTACAGTCAGCACTGGAATGCCATAAACTAAGTGGATGATTAAGGCCTGTGAAAGGCAAGTGAGTGTCCAGATTTAAATACATAAACATTGCATGTTTTATAAATTTCTTAAGTGAAATGCTACCAGTTACTTAAACCTCTGATCCCTTTCCTGCAAAACACATATCCAGTTCAAGCTTTTGGAGTTCACAAAGCTGCAGAAACGTGAGATGAGCATTACTGAGACACCAGGAATGCTACAGCCTGTCCCTCATTACTGAGAAGGGCAGGCTTAATACCACCCAAGATAATATAATTACTGCCAGAGAAGGACAGTGGCATAAGATAACACCACCCAAGATAATATAATCACTGCCAGAGAAGGACAGTGGCACTGCTCATGCAACAGGTCAGCCACCCTTCAGGTGTTCACGTTCTGAGTTCATTTTTGCTGTGATATAATTTGATTTAAATTCACTGGATTCATCTGCACCCCCTCCTCTTACCTTTCCATCCTTAATGGTGTCAAAGCAGGCTGACTCTATTTTTGTGGCGTGTTTGTGCAGTCCCATGTGACGCAGCATCATCACAGCGCTCAGCAGGAGGGCAGTTGGATTTGCCATGTCTTTGCCTGCAATGTCTGGTGCTGTTCCATGAACCTGGAAATAAAAGCAAACCTAGCAGTTATGATGTCAAAATAGGGCTGATTAAAATGTCCAAGGCAGTCCAAGTGTGTGCAAGAAAAGCTGACCCAGAAATCCTCGTGTGTATTAAAACAGGAGTTACTTTGCAGAGATACAGTCAGTGGAAAGGAGATATAACAAAGGCCAAAACAATTTAGTTCAAAGGCATCAGAGAGGCAGAACTAGGTCACATAATACCTCTGAATTGTGCCCCTCAAGTTCTGTTTGATAGAGGGTATTTACCTTATGAAAAAGAGGGAAAATTAAGCGTTGGTCAAGAAAAAGGACGTGCAAAAAACTTACACGTGATACACACTTTACCCAGGCTCTCTGGGCAAAACTTCACCAGCTCCACAGTAAAAACCAGTTTAATGCAGAACTTTGTTAAATGTCAGTTTTAGATTCCCAAGGGGAGACCAAGCAGTTATTGCTGCTCCCCCTTGGAGAGCAAAACTCACCGACTCAAAAATGGCCACTCCGTTGGCTCCGATGTTCCCGCTGGGTGTTACTCCCAGGCCCCCGATCAGGCCAGCACACAAGTCACTGAAAAAAAACCCCACCCATCAAATGAAAAGAAAACAAATTTCTCCATATACCTCTCTGCAAGATATTAAAATATTTGTTTATCTACTGCAACTGGAACTTATTTTATGCACCTGCACAGTCTGAGAGTAATACTGAGAATATTACTCTGGTGAGCCCCTTGTGCTCCATTAGAACATCTGAAAATTTTTAGGACTACCAGCAGAAGGCAATGTAACAAAGGACAATCAAAAGGAAATCCCAAATTCTAGGATGAAGCTGGTAAGACAGGCACAACAAGAAGGACTAAAAGCACAGAATATGTGAAGAAGTCTGAAAAACTAGCAAAAAACTGTAACTATCCAGAAATCCTATTTCCTCTGAAGGGGCCACAGAACTACCTTTCGTATGTGAAGTCCTTCTAAAGAAAGGTGGAAGAATTTTCCTGGGGTAGCTGGATTGCCAGTAGTTTTGTAGGGTACTGTGTGTAGCTTAAGGGGCATTTTCCAAATGACACCAGACTAACTTCCCTGAACAGCCTGTAAGTCACAGGTCTGACATTAGCAGGTCATCAGCCACCTGCATTTGGGTGCCTCCAAAATTAACCTGGGGAAGGGCAAACCAGCTGTGCCTGCAGCCATAAGATTGTACCCTCAGAGCTGAACAGACTGACAAACAGTGCTCCTAAAACTCACAGACATACATATTGCCCACAGCTCAGCTCAGAAAGGACTGACAAGCACAAAGGTAAATAGTCACTGAACTTGTAAACAAATCCTGATTCAGGCTGTTTTCTCAGTGTCTCCTTAGAGGTGCAAGGAGATGCCATGTTATGTTACACACTTACAAATTTCCGATTAGACACTTCATTTGACACACAGTATTGGATGGGATTTACACTCTACCTGAACATTTCATAGAAAGGAAAATGTCTGCTGGTGGATTTTGCCTTCAAGAGACCAAGCTCCTCCAGCAGTCAAGTTACTCAAATATGAAATTTAATTTGGAGGTAAGGAAAAAACTCAATACGTAAAAGAAGAGCTGGTAGGATATTAAGAGACCACACATTTGGTTCTTCAGTGACTCTGCAGAATCATTTACCTGTGTGAGTAGCTTTCTGTACACATCACAGTCCCACAGTCACCCTACAGAATCTGTTTTCCCTAATCTCTAACCAAACATTCTTGATTGCCATGTAAGCCATTAAATTCTCCACACCTTTGGAGAAATTTCTCTTCTGGCCCATCTGAACAATATTCACACACTCCATAAGCAGCAACTCTCTTTTAAATAAGTAGCACATTCTCATCCTATAGACCCACCCAACAATATATTAATAATTTAAGGGTAATAATACCATTATTACAAGTATATCAAGTCTGGTTTATGACGTGTTAAGACTCTGGATGCACAGATCACCCATCTGGCTTGCACATAACCTCAGTGACTGCTGGGAAAGTATCAATATTTTGCATGTATCAATATTTTACATGTTGGGTTACTTCAAATTAGAATCTCCATACCTGAGGATGTCACCGTACAAGTTTGGCATGACAAGCACATCAAATTGTGATGGATCTTGAACCATCTAGAAGGAAGGATATTGTCATTAAGGGTAAGAATTTAAACCAAAAAAAAACAAAAACAAAACACCAACCAAAATTAAAATATATAAATACTCACATTCAGACACACAGTATCCAGATACATTTCATTAAATTTAATATCTTTACAGTTTTCTGCTGCCTCCCTGCATTTTCTCAAGAAAAGCCCATCAGACATTCTCCTGCAATTAGATAAGCAAGAGAACATTGCAGTTATTTTAAGCAAGCAGTACTCAAGGTAAAGAAAACTGCATGCAACAGAGATGTAAATAAAAACATTAGAGTGCAGAAACTTAATTTGTCACTATCTCCTAAATATAAATAACATTGTAAATACATTCCAGAGAAGTTATGCCCTTTAAATTTCCTCCTAAAACATTTTTGTGCCAGTAGTTTAACAGTCATACACAGTCATTGTCAGAATGCCTTCTATTCCTTTACTGAAGGCTCAGTGGATTTGTAAAGGTGGTGTCTCCTATCACAGGTATTATGACTAAATTCAGTGGGAAGTGTCTTGGAAACTGTAAAAGACACTAGCAGCCACTTTCATCCTCAGTTTTTAAATTAATTCTCCTTGTTTAAAAAGAGCTTTGCATGAAAGGATTCCTAAGAACTTGCTAATGAGTACATCAGTACATCATTATTGCACCCTATCAACACTTGGGTCAGCACTGCCCATTTCACTTGGGAGGCATTTACTTCACTTGCTTTCCATTTTACCTCCTCCCAGTGGCGTCAACAGAAGTCCCACATTTGAGCAAGACTTAAAGCACATTGTTATTTAGTTCTGCTGAAAGAGCAGTGAGGACATACATGATATTTGCCTTGTGCACGGCCGTGACGTGGCTCCTCTGATTGTTCCTGGCGTACTCGAAAGCAAACTCCGCAATCCTCTTGCTGGCTTCCTCTGTGATCAGCTTGATGCTCTGCACGACCCCATCGACAATCTGCCAGACAGATTACGTGGGTACTGAACGTGTAAGATCATTCTTCGAGTCAGTGGTATGAGGTGGGGTAGAGTTCTGAGGGGGCAGAGTGCTGAGGGGGAGTAGAGTTCTGAGGGGGGAGAGAGCTGAGGGGGCAGAGTGCTGAGGGGGCAGAGTTTTCAGGGAGTAGAGTTCTGAGGGGGCACTGGTGAGGGGGCAGCGTGCTGAGGGGACAGAGTGGTGAGGGAGTAGAATTCTGAGGGGGCAGAGTGGTGAGGGGGCAGCATTCTGAAGGGGCAGCATGCTGAGGGGGCAGCGTTCTGAGGGAGTAGAGTTTTCAGGGGGCAGAGTTCTGAGGGGGCAGCGTACTGAGGGAGGCAGTCCCAACACTGCACTTCACAGGGAAAGTGCCAAACAAAAAAAACACCCTGAGCCCCCCCGGGGTGGGCCGAGTTCCCCTCCCTGGCACAGGTAGGCCCGGGAAGGCAGCCCTGGCAGCACGTACCACGTGCTCGATGCCGCTGTACTCGCCCTCCGTGTTCTCGCGGATGGTGACGATGTTCACGTCCGTGTAGGGGGTTTTGTAGCCCTCGATGGACACGCAGGGCCGCACGTTGGCGTAGAGGTCAAAGGTTCTGCGCAGCAGCAGGTTCATGGAGGGGTGCCCTGCAGCAATGGGGGTCTTCAAAGGCCCTGGATGAAAAAAATACATGCCTGGGTTTGGAAATTGAAACTCCAGGTCCAGCGAGCTCTTGGAGGATCTCCCATTTAACCCTTGTGTGAAATGCCACGGGAACTCTCTGTGCCTTCAAGTGCTGCACAGGGACATCAATCAGCTGTTTAAAGGCCACACTGCAATCCTTACATGGAACGGGAGATTTCACAACAGGTTTTCACTGAAAACACGAATAAAGATTCTGCTCACTAGGAATATAGTTATTGCACGCTGCTGTGTATCTTAGAAACGCCTTCTGCAGAGTCCAAAGGTTGGAATGCAGTAATATCCACCTTCAGCTATGAGAGTATCAAAATTATGGCTTGGAAATGAAGGGCTGTTTCAAGATTACAGGCAACAGGACAGGCTGTCCCATTTTATTGTGCTACAGATGAAAAACTTTGGCTTTAAATCAGGCTCATGATAAAACCAACAGTATTTAATATCTGTGTATTAACCCCCAAAATACCTTTTAATCCCATTTTGTTTTTATCCATGGATTCTTTGGCATCTGGAGGTATCATCCACTTCCCTCCTGGTCCTTGGATAGCTGTAACATTCCTTTCTTCCCACTGAATAGGAGCCTAAACACATATACTCACTGTTAACCTAAATGGCATGACTTTTGCTTCAAGTTTTAACTTTCCTTTCATAAAAAGGTGCATTAGGAATTTTGTCCAGGTCTTCATAAAACAAATTTTCTCTGGTGAGCGAAAGCAAGCATGGGATGTTTGAACTAAAGCAGTTTTTAAAAAAGGTAATTAAGTGAAAATGAAACAGTATGAACAGCCCATCATCAAAAACTTGAATCCCACAATGCCCCCTTGGTGTCACACACACAGGAATGGTTAGAATTGCAAGACAGGTGCTATTTCTTTCAAGTTTTTAGAGCTGGTGAGTTCTTTGTATCCAAGAGACATCATCTGAAAACTGAATTCATTGAGAACTCATCATCTCTCCTGCCTGGAAAACAGGACACGACACAGATATGTATCTGTTATCTAACTGAAAAGCTGCCCATGTTCCACGATGCTTTCTGAATTTGCATTCACCACAGGACTCTTTCACCTGCGCTGGAAGTCACAGCCAATAAAATAACATTTCTCTTGCTCTTATCAGTTGCTCAGGATTACTACATCAACCAGATGATACACTGAGTTCATATTCCCCAAAATCAGGCGCAGCATTTGCTCTCAACTCTCTGCTCTTCTGCCAGGTAACAGTTTGCAAGCCCTGCCTTGATATCACATTCCTGTCTTTTATTACTTGAAGCTTCAAACTCCATTCTCAAGTAGTTTTAACAGCTTAAATATGCCTTTATCTTTGGAAGCTAAAGGGAAAACTTTTTAAACATGCCCAGTTAGTATCTGTTGTTGTAGTTAAACTTACAGTGCTTACAGCAGGACAAACTGGACTTACTTTGGCAGCATCAAAGATCTTCATGACAGCAGCAGAAATCTCAGGTCCTATGCCATCTCCTGGGATTAAAGTTACTGTTTGTACCTAGGGAAAGAAATACCAGTAGTACAACAAATGAATGTTTGTTTCCTGCACAGAAAACGTTTTCATGTGTTGTAGGAACCAAGTGACTATCAGAAAACAGGAGAAATGTTCAGTTGCCAAATATTCACTGTGAAGTGAGAATGACTCCCTTGCTTTCCAAGGGACCGTGAAAATGTTTTGAGAGAACTGTTCAAAAATTTGCCTGCTATCTATTCCTATTTCAAAACAGAGGCTGAATGTGAAAGGCAGGTTCCTGCTCAGGACTCCTTGCAATTAATGATCTCAGCATGGTTCCTGTGGAAGTCTGAAGAGGAGGGGGGTATTCCCTGCAGATGGCTCTGCCACACATGTGCCTCCAGCATTACCAACACCCTGTGTAACACTGACACATGCTACAGAAGATTAAAGCATAGGAAAAGCTGCATTCATCTTAAAAAAAAAAAAAAAAAAAAAAGAGGAAAAAAAAAAAAAGGCTCATGCCAACAGAAACTTGTCAAGTGACCTCCCAAAAACCTCAGACCCGTTTTTGACAATACCAGCTTATTTTCCTCCCATGTTCTTAGTCCTGGTTCTTTCATTGCACAGCTCAGGCTGAATGAGTTATGGGAAGAAAGTACTCTGCTTTGATGAAAAAAAGAACTTATGATCACTGTTCTGAGGTGCAAGCCCCAGCTCTTTTTGCTTTATTTGAACAGTTCCAAGAGCTTTGTGTGGGCTCACTATTACCTCCAAAAAAAGCAACTCAGACACAGCACTATTTGCAAAACCCCAGATAGAATCAACTCACAAGATACATTTCCACCTTTCTCCACACAAAATATTCAGGATTTCAGTACATGCTGACTGATTGTTTTAACTCATTTGAGCCAGAGAAATTCACTGTGCATGACAAAAAAACCCAGAGCTTTGTTACTACAGGACTCCACCTGAGCTAAGTGTGCTATGAACAGAGCCAGAGGTTCTGTTTCTTTTTCTTCTTCTTCTTCTTCTGATTCTTTTTGTACAAAACTTGTAATTAGAAGCCCCAGCTCCTCTTTAAAATTCAATCCTGCCTAAAGGTACTTGCAGCAGTGCTGAGCCTTGCTCCTGCCTCCACTGGGGAAAAAAAAAAAAAGGCCCATGGGCACTTCAAACACAGACACATAAAGAAGGGAAAACAACTGTTGGGAAATACACAATCCACGTCTAAGATACTTTAAAGAGGACCTTGAAAAGGCAGAATTTTAGATGCAAGGCGTTCTAAAAGCAGCAGTAAAGTAAATCTAGTGCTTAGAAGGGAGTCTGCAAAAGAAAGAAAATGAGAAGCTTCTCAACAATCTTTCTGTTTTGCCCAATATTTGCTCGTTCCCAGAGGAATTTCAGAAGACTGGCTTCTTTGGTGAGAACTCTTCATGCCACTTGTATCTTTTGCCAGAGCCTCTTGTATTATCACCCACACTTAATATGCAATTGCCAATGACAGTGATTGACCAATGCAAATCCAGGATGGCATTAAGAGCACATATGCTCACTTGTTTGGGCCTTATTTTTTTTCGGGAATATAAAAATAACACCAAAAATTTCCAAACCCCTTTTATTGAGAAACTTCACGAAAGAAAAAAAAAATTGGGACTATTATACTCACAGCATTACCAAAACTTCTGGTCACCTTTTTTTGGTTTTTGAAAGCACCTAGCAACCGAGAAACCTGCGGAAAGAGAAACCAAAAAAGATGCTATTTTACTGCACGAACGGGACTTTGAAACGCTAATCTGCACTTCAAAAATCGTACTGCTTTAAATTTCCTCTCTCGAACCAGTGTAAAAATCCAAGTGAAACAAGAGCAGCCGGTGCTTTGCCAAGTTGCTGCCTATAACACTGTGTGCACCGAGTATTCTTAGCACAAGGTGAGCCCGGGACAGCCCGGCGTGCCTGGGGTGAGGGGAAGGCCCTGCACCATCGCTGGAGTCTGCAAGCAAACCTGCAGTGACTCTTGAATCCATATGCTCAGGACTGGGATTTGTGGAGGGCAAAGGGAAAAAGGGAAACACTCGGCTGGCAGCAGTTGGGTGGAAGCATCTTCACGCGTCTGAGGGGACGTTTCCAAAACTACTTTGCACCAGTGTCGCTTCTTCCGTTCAAAACGCGGTGAATTTTGTTCTTCCACCTCCTGCAGCTGCGTGCTTTGTACTGTTGCCTTCTGCAGGCCTGATGGGTTTTAAAAAGCATCACTGAAAGGCACGTTAGAGACAAAATTCACCATAGCAACGAGTCCAGAAAGCACAGTCAAAGAATGACACTTTCCAACATCTGAATATTCTGACCTAGCACTAAGCTTCAAGACTGGGATGCTACCTAAGCTCGAGCTCCTGTTTAGCTGAACATCATGGGCAAAATTCACCATCCTTTCTAGGACTACTGATGGCTCTGTGGCTTAAGAGCCAGAAGGCTTCTATCTGTAAACAGATGCTCCTTCAAGCTCTGCCACACTCACATGTGCTGGCTGTCTGCACCTATCGGCTAGAAAGGAACCTGACAATTTGTATTCCTCTCCTGTCCCGTCTGTATTTGTTATTTCTCACCTTTACTGACACAGTGTACAGCAAAAGGCTCTAGCTACGCTGGCACCAGCAGAAACAACTACAAACAACACAATTCTCGAGTAAATTGTAAGGAATGCTTACAATGGGACAAGTAACTTAAGCTAGATCTATTTTTACTTGTAGCCCCACATGAGATGCCCAAGGTCACTGCCACGGGCAAGCAGTGCCTGCCACATGGCTGAGGAAGCAGCTGGAGCCATTAAATGAAAAGGTGAAGTTCACTCCACAGCGTAAGGCTCCTCATGGTACAGTTCCGGGATTCACATCCAAAAAAAAAGCCCTGGGAGGGAACAGCGTGTCCTTTCAGAAATCACGGGCCTGGTACGTTATACTGAAGTTCAACATTGATAAGACCAACAAAGGGTCGGACCGAAGGAAACCGATCCATCCAGTCACGTGCCGCGATCAGCTCCTGACAGTTCCTCCTCATTTGAGCAGGCAGGTTTTTTAAGCGGGGCGGCCTCAATGCCTTTGCCCCTCTCGGGCCGTCATTTAAAAGGCTCAACAGAACTCCCATTGGCTCGAGGCACAGAGCAGCATCCCCGCGCCGGGGGCCGCGCTCAGAGCGGCCCGGAGCCGGCGAGCCCCCCAGAGCGGAGCTGTGGGGGCGCAGAGCCCCCGGGTCCCCCTGCCCGCGCCGCTGTCCCCTCTGTCCCCGCGGTTCGCAGCCCGCGCTGCCCGAGCCCCGCCGCGGGAGCGCCCCGCGCCCGTGACCTCTACGGCGCGACCTCCCCGCAGGCCGCTGCGGCCGCCGCGCCGCCCCCGGCCCGCCCGGCAACGGCCCCGCGGCGCCTCCCGCCGCCCGGGCACGGGGGACACACACATGGAACCCGCCGCCGCGGGGCCGCCCGCTGGTACCGGCCCTTCATCCCCGGGAGCGCTGCCAGGGCCCGGCGGCACCGCGACCTTGCGGCTCCGCCGGGGGCACCGGCCAAGGTCAGGGGCGCGCCCCGGGCAGGGCCCGGCCCGGCCCTTCCCCCGCCTACCGTGGGCATCCACGCGGCCGCGGCCATGACGCGCCCGGGCTCCGCGGCTGCCGAGGGCCCTCCGCTCCGCGCCCGCCGCCAGACCGGAACCGGCGCGCGGGGAGCGCCGGCCCCGCCCCGCCCCGCCGGGGGAGCCCCGCCCCGGGCCCGCCGCTGCCGCAGCGCCCGCGGGCCCGCAGCGCTCGCGCGGGGGTGGGCCGTTAGTCCGCGAGCCCTCAGCTCCTGCCCCCGGGCCCTCAGCTCCTGCCCCCGGGCCCTCAGCTCCTGCCCGCGGGCCCTCAGCTCCTGCCCCCGGGCCCTCAGCTCCTGCCCCCGGGCCCTCAGCTCCTGCCCGCGGTTCCTTCGCTCCCGCGGCCGGTGCCCCGGGCGGTCCGAGCCCTCTCCGCCTGGCTCAGCCCCGGGCCATGAGGTGCCGGGGCCGCCGGAGGCCGCGGGAGCCCCCGGGGCGGCGTCTGAGGAGGCACCGCTGTGGCATCGCCGAACAGAACCGGTTCTAGAAGTGGGTAGTTTTACTGGAGAAATAGCTGTTGTTGTTAAGAAATAAAGTGTATCGGGGTTTTGTCGCAGCAGATGGAAAAAAAGAACCACAAAAAAACCAAAAACAAACACCCAAACCAAAAACCAACCAAACAAAAAAGAAAAACAAGCAAACAAACAAAAAAACACACACCAAAACCCCGGGTACTTTAAAGTATTGAAAACCAAAGTTGTTGAAGTCGGGGCAATATTTGAGGTTGGTATTTGCCTTCTGGTTCTTTGAGGTCAGTCCCAGAGGGGCTGTGGGAGCCCAGGGCAGCAGTGCCCCCTCCACAGCCCCACTGCCCCAAACCCCCCAAACTGGGCCACAAGTGCTGGTTGTTCATGCCTAAAGGGGTTCGGTAACTTGGGGTGTTCCTGGGAGTAAAGCACCAAACGAGAACTGAGGCAGTCTGAGCTCAGACCTCAGGGAATAACAGCTTTGAAAAGCCTCTCCTACCCTTTCTTTCACTTTTGGCAACATTAAAATTTGGGGGTTGTCTCGATTTGTACCAGGTTTTGGTAATAGTTATCAGATTAATTCCAGCCTTTCCATTTACTCAGCTCTGTCCTGGCTGTGCTTAAAAGCAAAGGACTGTACATTCTGTTCTCCCTTGTGAGTAGGAGTTCTCAGAACTGATATTTGACAGTAGACAGAATTTGTAGTCTCCATTTTCTGGGAATTACTTGCCCTTTTTTTTTTTTTTATTTCACAAGACACCAGAGGTATTCACACCTTTCCCTCTGTTCATGTTTCGTCTTGGTTTTGATAGTGCTTTGAACTGAGAATTGTCACTCTGGGGGGCAATTTTTCCCACTTATTTTCGATACCTATCCATCTGTGTCTCCTGGGTTTTACCACAGTAAGGCTACAGTAATAAACCATGGAGAGTGTCTGGTTTGAATCTGTCCTGAGAAGGGCTGAACAACACAGTAATAAACCCATCAGGAGTTATTTTACATAAAAAAATGACACCTGTGTAGAGGTAGCAGTCCTGTCTTTCCTAGTGATCCCTATATTGAGACTCCCCATGAGGAAATTAATTCTATTAAATTTAGTCTGCTTAGGAAACCACTGTTTTTCTGTTTTTTTCATTATTTTGTCCCTGAGGCAAGACACTATCTTGTGCAAAGCACCTTAAAAAAAAAAAGGATCATTTCTACTTATTATGGATAAATTAGGCCTAATGAAATGCAGTCAGAAACCTCCCTCTTCGAACATAGTGAATTTTTTTAAGATAGGTGGGATCATAAACCCAACAAATTTTCACACAAACTTTTCCTTTGTCTGTTTTCTTTGGCATTAAAAACTCTCCTGAAGAGTTCTGCTCATCAGAGCAAATGCAGTTTAATCAGACAGTTGGCACTTTCACCAGTTTGAGGGACGTGAATTTTGCATCTTCCTCAAGCTGTTTATTCTTCTCTTCCAGGGTAGCACTTGCAGACACATTTATGGGGTCTGAGCATCCTCCCATCCATCATGTGTTGGAAAAATCAATTTTTTATCCACTGCAGCAGCATCAAACTCTCATTTTCCACTTATTTTAGGATTTTATAACTGTGTATTTCCAGTTCATTTTTTATTTATAGCTTGCAATAACTATTAAATAAGAGGCAAGTTGGGACAGTTGGTGTGGCTTATTGCAGTGATAATGTTTTGTAGCCCCGGAGCATCCTTATTTAAGGGATTTTTTGAGCTCCACGGCACCTGTAGTAGGTGAACATTATTACTCCTGCTTTATCTGTAAGCAGATAGAACTGTGAGTAGCTTTCAAGTAAATAAAACAAGCCCCAAAGACCCAACAGCAGCATTAGTGGAGGACAAAACTTCTCCCTCACACCCCTCGATGGTTCAAACTCCGTGGGGGTCCTGTCATGAGCAGGTCAAGTGCTGTCTGTTCACAGCAGCCTGATCTTCCTCTGGGGGAGGAAAAGCTTCCCTACTTACAGCCTAAAATCACTTGTTTTGGCAAACAGTTCAAAGAAACTGAAATATGGCGAGGCGTGGTGGTTCTGATGGCATTTCAGGTCAGTTCTTGTATTGATTTGTGGCACCAACATGCTGGGGTAAGCATTGCTTAACAGCCAGCTAATCTTTGGTAAATATGAACTGATAGGAGAAGTGAAGAAGAGTAAACTGGAAGGCTCTCTGAACTTTCACATGCACAGACAAATAGTAGTGAAAAAGACTTTGGGCATTATGGATGCCTTTAAATTTTACCCAATTAGTATGGCAAGATAATCATGTGTTGAAATATGGTTACCACTGTAGCAGGCTTGGGAAGAGCTGGCTGGTATAGTGGAACCCTCCACAGTCAGTATCTGAATCCTCTTTTTAATTAGATTTGCTAATAAAAAAGACTCTTGAGATTATGGAATTTGAGAAACAGTTTATTTTCAGTCCATCCACTCAGTGAGTGCTGTTCCCTTGGTAAGCTGAGTCTTTCTTTTAAAACAAGGAAGGCTTTTGGCCATACTGGTTTCCCTGCATATTTTCTCTCCAGTATTATAAAACCGAAGCATTTCTAATATGGATGAGAAAGCGGAGGAGCACTTTTAATAATTAGAAATACTATATTCTGAAATATTTTTGGTTTTTTTTTACATTCTGACTTAACCTGTGGAGAACCTTCTGGAGCATAATGAGAATCTATTGGTAGAATCCATTTCTTTGACTGTCACAGTTCTGATGTTTGCTTTACCACTGCTAAGCCTTGTTGCCCATGTTCTTATCCCAAGGCGTTTATTTTGTATTTATGGTAATACCCTGTGGTGCTGTAGCTGAGGGCAGTGCTGGTTTGCAGCTCCTCAAACCTGCATTCCAAATGTTATCATTTGAATAAGCCCTCTCCTAGAGCTTGTGCGGTTCAGCACTTTGTACAACGTTTTTACTACACATCCAACACACTCCATAGGATATTTTTACTATGCATACGATATATTTACTTTCAGTATTACTGTTAAATGTTTGTTCTTTGTTGTCATTTGCCAAGGTAAAGTGAACTCCTGTGACCCAACCCTGTTATCGGGTGAGGATCATTAGAAGCTGTAGGGGAAAGCACAAGGCAATTCTGCGAGTGGTTTCATTAACCTAATAATGACCGCTGGCACAGCTGTAAATAACGAATGCACGAGTTTTACCCTCTCCTGTTCCTTTGTGCGTGAGTGGAAAGTGAACTCACAACAGGTGGTTGCCATCCTTTCTCACTCAGCCTCCCTCCTGCTGTTGCTAAAAGTGTTTATCCTTCTGCAGCTGTTCGATAATGCGATTTTGTTGCAGTTTATTCATGTTGTCTGGCTGCTTCTCAGAGATGCTCTTTATTTATTTTTTTTTTTTTTAATTTTCCCGGAAACAGTGTCGTGGTGAACTAAACCAGCACGCCGGGAGCCCTCTGCTGGCACTGCGTGCTTTTGCTTTAGGCTGCGGTCGCATTCCTTCCTTCTTCCTTCCCAGCTGTGCTCGCTTCAGCCTAAGGAATTAGATTAGCGCGTTAAACTACTTTAATCGTGCTGCTTTTTACTTATTATTATTATTATTTTACCGTGAGAAGGAGCACTCTCATTCACCGTACGCGGGAGCGTGGCGGTGCAGACAGGGGCACTGACCGTGTCACCTGCTGATGTCGCGGGGGTGCCGTGGGCACCGTGAGCGCCCCCGCGGGAGGGCAGCGGCAGGAGCTGCGCTCTGCCGGCGCCTTTCCCAGCTCCCAGCCCTGCTCCGTGCTTTGTGTCTGTCCAACACGACTGCGCTGCCGAGCTGCTGACGCACAGCCCGCTCCCAAAACCTGGAGGTGCCGGCGGGAGCGTCCTGCCATCCCGGACGGACACCCCGAGGCACCAGAGAGCCGCTCTCCGCCGGTACCTCCCGCTCGGCTTTGGGCTCAGAAAAGCCCCGTGTGCCTCTCAGAACAGCACCTGGAAAAGGGGGGACGTTGGCATCGCTGGCTTTGCGCGACACCTGCCTGTGATTTTACACTCTGGTTTCCTGGCACGCTCCGGTCGAGCCTCCGCAAAGATTTCCCGGCGCTGCGTCCTTCCCCCTCCCCGGGCGGGTGCGGGCACGGGCACAGCCAGTTCGATGCGGGCTCTGGGATTTTTTCAGCGCTCTCACGGACTGTACGTGCTCTAAATGCCTACAATACAGAGGAATCCGCCTGCTCCTGATGGGATGCATCTGCAGAGAGGAAGAATTCCTCATTTAAGATGGGTAATAAGCAAACGATATTTACTGATGAACAGCTAGACGCCTACCAGGTAAGATATCTTGGCTTGCATTAGGGGATGGAAAGGAGTAATCTTCATGTGATTCTGATTTGGGTTTCTGGTTGGTTTGAGGAGTGGTTTTTCTTTGCCAATGTGATTGAAAACTTCCTTTGTTACCTGCGTGCACACATTTCTCTCATTTCCTTGCAGCAACTGTACCGGTGTTCTAAGGCTGGGTTGTTAGATAAAGATAGTTTAATTCTCTCTCTGTGTACCGGGAAATGCCTGGACTAGGAAGCAGGACAAAGGTTGTGATGAGCCTGACAAAGTGCAGCAATAACCTCTCTTTCTCCCCCCCTATGCCTCTGCTAACAATAGAGAGGAAAGGAGAAAAAAAAAAAGGTCTTGTCTAAATTCTCTTCTCCTAAAGATAAGTCATAGAAATATGCTAATGTAAGCCCAGAACAGGGATTGTGATGCTTGCACCCACTCCTGGATGGCAGTTTTTTACCTTCAGAGAAGTGTTGCATTTTATATCAGGAGATAACTTGGTACTTCTCTATTTACTCGCGTTGCATCAACTGATTTTTAATAGGGTAAAAAATAATTCCCGCTTTCCAGTCGTGTTTCAGCACACTGCAAACCTTCCTGAAATGGATTGCAGGAAGCCCTCTGCACAATGAGCACCTTGAACAAGTTTCTGAGCAGCCAGCGAGGTGCTGCATGGAGTAGGAATGTGCTGAAGGAGGCAGCTGACTCCTTGCTAAGAGATGCAGCCAGGGCTCTGTTCTTCTACACAAAGTGACAAACACAGAATTAACAGTGCAGGAAATCAAGACTCAGTTTATCTTGTGGTAACCAAAGGGACAGATGGAGTCATAACAATTATTTACTGTCAGGATCTCTGATTCAAGCCCTTGAAGTGGAAACTTGTTATTTTAGTTACTAATTGTATTTCAAGTTACTGCTAAGGTGGACTTTTCACAGGTGGAAATGTTTATCCACAGAGTCAGGCTGGGGGTACATGCTCAAATGTTTTGAACCATTATCCCATGCTGAAAATAAGGCATCAATTAAATGCTTTTAGAAATACCTCACCCTTTTCTTGTCATGGCAGGGCATGTGAAAATGGACCTTCTCTGATTTCCACGTTGTCACACCAGCAGCCTGTCACTGTGACATATTAGTCTAAGTTAATGCTCTTAAAAGTCCAGGACCCAAACAGGTTTTTTCACGTCCCTGCTGGACAAGCAAGAGGGAAATCAAAGATCTCTGGAGCACCAGTGCCTGTCCTCCTCCCAACAACAAACGTGAACACAGAACAGAGCACAACTGCAGTGAACCAAAACAAAAACCCAAATGCGATTAATGTTATCTTCTTGACATAAACTGGCAAATGCAAGAGCTGAAATGTCATCCCTAATTCCTTGCTCTTGATGCAGAAATGGCCTCTGTCTAATGGCTTTGGCAGCCCCTGCCTTTCCTAATGCTGGTTAATTGATCTCGAAGCCTGGCAGGACTTGGGCCCTCTGCACTGAGGCACCTTTGGGATTTCTCAGTTCCAGGCAGACTTTAGTTCGTTACTGTAGTCCCAGAGAATTTTGGAGTAGGAATATCACTTGGTTTGTGTGCTAAATAACGAGTTCCAGGACAGCCACTGACCTGCAGCATTTGCCAGGAAGGAAAGTTTTGCCTCGTGCTCTGAAGAATCAGAAAAGAGTCTTATTTTGGTGGTGATTTGCTCTGATCCATTAATTTTGCATCATTGCTGTGTCTTTTAAACCCAGAGATCCTGGGCTGACTGCTGTAACCCCCCCCCATCTCCCCCAGAGCTCCTGCCTCTCTAAGGCATCCTGGGGGAGAGTTGGCACTCAGATGGAGTTTGTTATCTTCCCTGCCTTGTTCCCACTTGGGCAATTCCCTCAGGACAGAGAAGGGGACAGTGGTTCTATAATTTTTTTAATGCAGGTTTTCGTGTCCTGAGCCAGCAGCTGAGTTAGCAGGGCCTCTGAACGCTGGACCAAAGTGAGACTCTGTGTCCCACAGGCCCCTCTGGTGTCACATCTGCACCCCAGAGTACAGGAGGGCATCTCCACGTGACTTGCTTTTTAAATGGACCGCTGATTCCTCTCTGGTTTTTCCCCAAGGCAATTTCTTGTGAATTTGTGTGTCTGGGAGTTAGTGCTGTATCCCTTGCAATAATCCCCAGGGGCACAGTGTTCATATCTCAGCAGGGCAGAAGCAAAAGAATCAACTCAATCCTTTATGTAAAATATGGTTGGGTTTTTTTTTTTCTTTAACCTCACTCACGATTTCTTTATTTAAACATATTTCTGGACATTGTCTTACCTGGTTGTAGCTTCTGCTGGTTTTGTCTTTGGCACCAATTGCTTTGAGTCTATAGCACCAAAATGCTACTTTGGTAAGGAAATGTTAATAATTTTTTAAAAATTCAGTGTGTTTCATGTGTAGGAGACACTAGGAGATGGAAAAGTGAGAAGCTCATGTGCTTAAAGTAGATTAAAATCAAGTATGAGTGACTTTGGCTTTAGGGAGTAAAGATGGAGCTGCAGAAAAATCACCTGCTTGAAGAGCAAGCATACATAAACCTCAGGTCATGAACATGATATCAATGAGCTAAAATAACCTTATGTGATTTATCTAGAACTTTGTGAAATGCCTGTTTATACAATTTTTTTGGGGCATGTAAACTGTCACATTGTAGAGCCACTTTTTGGCAGAACCTTTACACTGAGCTGAGATCTGGTCCCTCCCAGGATGACCTCAGTGTTTTTAATGGACAGGTCTCTTCATTCAGACTGGTGGTGGGTAACCAGTTGAAACTGTTTGTAAAAGAGACACTATAATATTGAACCTTTCAGCTTTTTTTTTTTTTTTAATTCCAAAGAGGCAGAGGCAGATTAAAGAAAACAGTAAATCTCCTAACGCCTTGTCACATCACCTGCTGTTAAGATCATATCACCTGTTATTAAAATAGTGTTCTAGTTGGCAGCTCTTTACATTTTCATGAGATTAGTGAAATGTTTTGGAAGTGAGGCTCTTGCTGGCACTGCTTTCCTGGTGGAGATTCACCTCATTTAAAAACCTGGCCCTGTAAGAAAATGAATTCTACTGGGCACTTCTGATTCTTGTGCCCTCAGAATATTTGGCTGCTCTGGGTTTCTGGGTGTGGTTTTTTGTTTGGGTTTTTTTTTTTGTGTGTGTGTATTGGGGTTTTGTTTGTTAATGGTGGTTTTTTTTTTTTTTTTTTTTTTTTTTTTTTTTTTTTTTTTTTTTTTTTTTTTTTTTTTTTGTCTTGGCTGTTTGTTTTTTTTTAATATATAAAATGCAAAATATAACCAGGCTCTGGTTAGGGAAAAGATAAGCATTGATATGCAAGAAAGATGCATTTCACTGGGGAAAAAAAAAAAGACATTTTCAAATTAAGGTTTTAAAAGCTGCCTACAGATTTTGGAGGTCAATTATCATTGAGAACAACGATTTGTAGTTGTTCATTAATGGTATTATTTACTCTGCATTATTTAATACAAACTTAAGTGCCCTGGCAGTCTTAAATGAAATATAGGACCGTGAAAGAATTACTTCTCCTTTTACACAAGAATTTGGCTATTCCAGAGCTCACTTTTATCCTTTTATTAAAACTGAAGCCGAAGTGGGATTGAACTGTATTTCCAGCTGAAACGAGTTAGGTTCTGATCTGTCAAAAATGCCATTTGTAAAGTGAAACTAGGTCAGCGATTTGATTTAAAACCCATGCTTGGTTTGATCAGGGGCTTGGGAGATGAACCCTTTGCAAACAGCATTTTTGGCCATCGATAAAACATCCGATCTGCAAGTTCATTTGCCTCTCTGCAGTCCCAGAGTTCTGATTGCTGCGTGAGGTGATGTTCTGTGAATGGTGTGCTGATGAAATGATCCGTGTGCACAGAACGGAACGTCGCTGGTGACTGGAAAACCGAAGCCTCTGGAATCATTTCCTTGCAATATTACCTTGGACAATGCTGCAGCATTTCTCGAGAGCTGCTGGCTCCGCTCTGTGGATCTCATCTGTCCTGCCCTAAGGGTACCATCCAACCCTCCACTAGCCATTGGTCTGCATCATCTGTAGTTTCCTGGCTTTTGTCTGAGGCTGCTTTTTGAAATTTGGACTGATTTTTTTTTTTGGACCGATTTATATTATTTTCTTGTTTATAAAACTTCCCAGTGAAGCTGCTGCTGGCTCAGGGTAAACCTGCCCTTCTGAAATTCTCCACACAAAGGGCAGAATATACATACATTGTCTCAGAGGAGAGAGAAATTTAATGGACGTGAGAACTCCTGTTTCACAGCAGCTTCACATATTTGAGCATTTCTGTTCTTTCACTCTGTTCATGTCTCCAGTTTTTCTTCTGTAGAGAAGAAAACACAGGTACATGTGAAATAATATATATACACATACAGAAATGTGTGTGTATGTGAAATGAGTTTTATTTCAGACTCTGCCCTCTCTGAAGGGGTGCTGACCTTCCATTCACCAAACTCTCCTGCCATTCACAGGCTGCCCTCAGGAGCTGGCATCCTCTCCCACAGGGCAGCTGTTCCTGGAGCCATCCCTCACGTGTGTGGACACTTGGCAGAGGGTTCATAATCAGCACAGTTCTCTCTCTCTCTCTCACTGTTTTTTGTTCAGATCGCTGCAGGACTTGATAAAAAGCAGAACAGACCTAGGAACTGGCAGTAAAATCTGGAGCAAAGGTAGCAGGACCACCTATTTCAATCTGTCCTGCCCTAAACCTGCCTTCACCTGACACAGGAAATAAAAGAACAAAACTATCAGCACGTGCCTTCTGTTCTATAAAACCATTTGGGAGAGCAGAGACCACTGACCCTTCCCTGCAAGCAAAGTTGCAGGAAGTCCCAACACCAGCCCTGGAACCTAAATCACCTGCCTCTGCTCTCTGCAAAGCGTTCTGAGAGCAGTTAGGCCACCTAAATGCTAAATCTGAGGATCAACTCCCATTATCCAAGTGAATTATCTTCTAGAAATCAACGGGAAACCTTCTGTTTGCTCGCTTTTACTGTCTTTGCTAGATGTGAGGTGGTAAATTGCAGATTTAAGTGGTATCTTACCTCCAAAAAGCAGCGCTGATCCCGTGTCAGACTTTAATTCCCTTGAGGAACATACACTAGAAAAGAAAAGCAGTGATTCTCAGGAGCCTTTCTTGCCAGAAATGTTGAATTGATAAGGATCATGAAAGCTCTGGTGATGTTTACTTGGTCAGTAATTAGTTTGGGCTTTTCTAGCAGGACTCCCAGTGGCTTTAATGTCCAGACAGAACAGACTGTCTGCTTTTTATGTTCAAAAACAACTCGAATAATCCTCAAAACAGCACATGTGTTCCATGATAACTTTGATCTTCCTTCCAGCCAAAGTTTATCACGTGCATAAATGGTAAATGCTTTCCAGGACCCACCTCACCTTTCCTTGGGAGAGAGGGAATTGAACATGTTAACTATTTACTGTCCATCCTTGCGTGTTTTCTGTATGAATGAAGCAGCCAGCAGAAAATTGGATGATTCACCTCCGTGCTTCTTTGGCCAAAAGTCTTTAATTAAATTGGAATTAAATTGCTTTACTTCCAGCAACTATAAAATGTAATTATGTTATTTAGTCTTTTTTTTCCATCTTGAGTTTTAATCCAACTTAGGGCTGTGCTCCCCCCAAAAAAAAGGGAAAAAAAAATGAGTCCTGCTCCTCTTTCTATTATTATCAATTGATACTTGGTTTATCTTCATCTCTTGGTTTTCAGTATGAGTGGCTTAGTTTATATTAGTAAAAATTTTGTTTGATTAAAAAATAGGCAGCCACTGGTGTTTGTTGTCAATGAGAGGAGGCAACTCAGCTTAAAATAAAATATTAAGAAAATGTGGACTGTCAGCAACACTCCCAGGGTGCTTCCCTGTGCCTGGAACAGGAATCTGCCTGTGAGACAGGGGGATAATCAGCAAGAATGTTGTGTTTTGGTGCTTGTTCCCTATCTGTACACCCTCAGGAGCTCCCTCTGAAACCAGAAGTTGCACACTCTGAGTTTATGAATGATGATGTCAACTGGTTATCAAGTATTTCATCGCCATCAGCACTCCTGGTTTTGGGTGCAGGGCAGAATTTCCCTTAAATATTTATTAGATGAGATAGTGGATGTTAGGGGATATTCCTGTTAATGGCATGGGACTGATTATTTATGTTTCCTCACAGCACCTGAAGTTGGAATTTGTTATTTATAGTTTTCTAGATCCACTTATGGAATATTTTCGGCCTCTACCCCCATTTTTGGGTTTAATTTTGTTTCTGGCCTGGTCGTTCCCCACTGGAGAAGTATTTCAACAAGTTGTTTGTTGGTTTGGTTTTTTTCTTTTGGAGTTTCCCATTACAATATTTTTTTTACTGGCTTGTCCTTAGGATGTTTCAGTTATTTTACAGCACATTTGGGCTTTCTGAGTCCAAACTCGGTCGTACACAAACGGCATCTTTCATGCTTTTCTGTCACATCTGAGTTTCCTCCCGGAAGGTTGGAAAAGCAATTCAATATTTGTGTAGTACAATGACACGTTTTGTTTTTTGACAGGACTGCACCTTCTTCACTCGGAAGGAAATCCTTCGGTAAGTAAATCGTATTCAACTTCTCCTTCGGGGCTCAATCTTTTCATCTGACTCGGGAGGAAAGCAAAGAAATGCTATTATTTTGCCCCAGGATCTGGGGCACTGGCACACAGATCCTGCCCTCTCACTACCCACGTCGTTTTTTGCCCCAGGGGAGGGGGAGAATAAATCTGGGCTGTGCACCCAGACCTAGGAACTCTTTAATTTTTCGGGGTCTCAAACTTGAAAAGCTTCTCAGGCACGAGAAACTTGGTTTTCATCGACGCTGGGAACAGCTTTGGGATCCAAAGCAGAGTGGTCTCTATTTTGTTGTTGGAAAAGCAGAGGTGGGTGTTGCAGCTCATTTCTTACATGGCCTGTCCTCGTTGCTCCTGGAGAAATGTCTTAAAAATCAACAAGTTTGTTCTTTCTAACAGGGCTGCCTTGATGCAGCTTCTGAAAGAGGTTTGTTTGGATTGGATAAAACTGAAAAAAATTGCTTTTTTTTTTCCTAAAATGTTATTTGAACTCAGATTTGTCAAAGCTTTATCAACAGCCAATTACTTGCATTTGTGTTCCTGTGAGGGGAAATGATTATTAATTAAGATTTTGACACATAAGGTTCTCTTTGTCCCTTAGAATAACTGATCTGTTCTGAGAATTGGGGGTGAAGTGATTTATAAACTGTGATTCTGGCTCGTCCTGCTCTTAGGAGTTGTTTCTTTTTCTCCTGTGGCATGATCTCTAAGGAAATATTGGAGTCAACCTGAAAAAATAATTGACTTCCAGTGCAGAAAGCAAAAGGGACTTATTTTGGTACACGTACACCTAAAATACATCTAGAGAAAAATTTCTGGACATGTAAGAAGGGTAAAACACGTGCGGTACAGGCCCAATTTTTAAAGAATGTGACATAAAAAGGGGCCATTTTTATAGTAAAACTGGAACATTGGTGGGGGGAGGACGGACTCAGAACTGTAAAATGCTGATAAAAGGAAGGAAATAAGGAATCAGACATCATCACTGAGGTGGTGATTGGGAAACTGCTCAGTCTGAATAAGCAAAAATAAGCAAATAATTTTCCAGATTTTTTTTTAATCTGGAAAGCATTTTCAAGCTGTAACTTTGTACCATCGTGTGCAGCCGAGAAAATACAGAGCATGTACTTGGGAACACATTGCAGATGTCAAGAGCAGCTATTCCAAAGTAATGAAATCAGAAAATCGCTGTGTGGCAGGCAGACAGGGAGTTACACTATGGCAAAATCTGCTGTTCACTTCCCTGCCCTGTCCCTGGTCAGTGTAAGCACCTCTGACAAGTTATCACCACTGTAATCAGTCTGCGTTACCCCCCACTGGATATTTTTGTGCCTTTTTTAAGTCTGAGGACAATTGTTTCCCTTGTCTTGTCAGTTTAGGTGGAATACAAATGACTGCCTAAGGAACAGAGTGGAATCCAGAGGTGTCTGAGGAGAAGTTTTACTGAATGGGAATAAAATGGCCCATGATCCCCTAGTTAATTAGCACTTAGTGATTTAGCGTATCCCTGTCTCGGTGAAGAGGGGGCTGGGAGTTGATTTATGCGCTGTTTGCCACTCCCAGGTGGGGGATTAAGGAAGAGCAGGACCAGCTCCTTTCAGGCTGAGCTGAATCTCTTGTGCAGTTCAGTGAGATGATCCAGCAGGGAGTGACCTCACCAAAACAACAACAACAACAACAACCAGCCCTGTCTGGCTCACCATCCATTTGCTGGTGAGGAAGAGGTGCAGCTGTGTAGGTGGGGAGGAGGGGGATTAATGAGGCAGCTTCCATTTAGATTGATTTAAAGTGATGTGAACCAGCACGGGATTGCAATTAGGTGAAACGGGCTAAGTGTTTTTATCTGTCCCTGCAGGGAAAGCAGCCCATCAAAAACCCAACCAGCAGTCAATCTATTTTCTGCTGGTTTAATAAGCTGACTCAGCTCTCTGAGGGATCAGGGGAGTGCCAAAGTTGGCACAAGAGCCAGAGCCAGCAAATGGAGCTGCAGATGAGGAGAGCAAGGCTTGGCAAACCCCTCCAGTGAGGTGTTGGGTTGACTCACACACTGACCTCAGGGTGCAAGACTTTGGTGTCAGCATCAACCTGAGTCAACAAAAACACAGGCTGTGGTCAGAGGGGTTGAGGCCACGTTCTCCTGATTGGTAACCTGAGTGCAGATAGTCTGGAAATTATTAGAGAATAACAGAATTTACAAAGTTTAGGTGAAGAAAGAATTAACATGGAATAGAGAAAATGGATCTAGGAAAAGAATAAAGTTAGACTGTGCCTGGTGGAAGAGAAGGAGAGAATCCAGGGGTCGCTCTTGATGTTTGACAGGCATTGTTTATAGAATGTGGAACTTCCATTCCAGTCAGCAGCGCTGGGACCTCAGGAGAAACAAACTGCCCACTTTTGGGCATCACCAGTCCAAAAAGATTTGTTGTGCTGGAAAACATCCTGTAGACAGAAACATGGGCAAGGAGAAAAAAGGCTGGAAAAACCACTTTATTCATAGCAATGAATCTCTTGGTGTAACGTGCCTCTCCTGTGATTGATTGTAAATGGCAACAAATGGTCGAGCCGTCTCTTAAAAGGCAGCGTTTCTGTTCCTCAGGTCCGTAAATCTGATTTTCCAGCAGACAAGCTTTTACTCCAGCAGTAATGGTTGTGTGCTGGCCAGCCCATCTGTCCCTGCTCCCCCAGCACAATTTGGCAGATACCCAGGCACTCAAGTGCGGGTGTTCTCGGGTGTCTGTCCCGGCCAAAAAAGCCCCAAAACTTGTAAATTAAAGTTGTTTCCCTTGAGAAGTGACTGAGCTGAGCTGGCCAGCTGCCAGGGGAGCATGGCACTGCCTGGCTGAGCTGGGCACCCTCTGGGAACTCAGCACACCTTTGAACCTCCCTGGAGAAGACAATTCCTTAATTCTTCTCTTCCGTTCTCGTCCCTGCCCGTTCCTTGGCGTGTTTGTGACGGGTGGAAGGTGAGGTGGAGAAGAGCCCTTTGAGCCAATCCAGCCACGTGCTGGATTTTAAATCTGAAACCTGCCTGAGACTTCAGCAGTGAATTCCTCTAATTGCTGGAAAACTTTCCTTTTAAGGCAGCAGGAGCAGCAAAGTGCTGGCTCCAAACTCCCTGTGGAGCATGTTGATGTGCAGATGGAGGGAGGGGTCAGGACACAGCTCCTGGTTTTCTTTTTAAAAGTTTGGGCATCAGAGGCAGGAAGGGGAAATTCCCACAATTTGGGGAAAAAAAACAAACCCTGCTGGCCAAAAGAATATAGTTTGAGGGAAGTCTTGGGAATGTTCCTGAGTTTTAGGGAAGAAACTACCTACAGGAGGGACGTACACCCTGAGGCTGCTGTTGATCTGCTGTCTGAGCATAAAGAAGCCCTTTTTTCTTTTTTTTTTTTTATTTTTCCTTCTTCCTGTGAGAGTGACCAAGCACAGGAACAGGCTGCCCAGAGAGGTGGTGGAGTCTCCATCCTTGGAGATGCTCCAAAGCCATCGGGACGTGGGCCTGGGCCTGCTGGGAGGGGGTTTGGACCGGAGGAGCTCCAGAACTGCCTCACAACCTCCATCATTCTGTGATTCTTTGAATCACCAGCAGAAGAGAGGCCTGGGAGGAGGGTTTTGAGTGGTGCTTCAAGGAAAGAAAACCATTATAAACTGCTGTTATCCATATTTACTGTGCATCGTGGAGTTCTGGGAACAGCAGAGTATGCTTATTGAAAGTCAAAGTATGACTAGATATTTTAGAATAAATATAGTATTATAAATTATAATTATATTATCATAAATATATTCTTCAAAATTGCCAACATAATTTCTTTTTCATTTTACTGCAGATGATTTGGGAGGATATTTATCTGGTATTCTGTTGAATTAATTCGTGCTGCTTCATTTTGCGTTGCAGAGATGAATAAACACTAGACACGTTAACTAAAATCTAGCAGAAAGCTCATCTCTCCACCTTGTCTCACCCTGTTATGCTGCCCTTTCTATAAATCTGATTTCTCTGTCCAGTTATTGTGTTTTATTGAGATAATGAACTGGGAAGCATAAAAGGGACAAAGCGTATCAGGAAGAGAATTCCTTCACTTCACAGCGTTTAGGAAACCATCCCTGAGTGTGACTCACAGGATCTGTGGTGGTGCACAACACTGCAGGCTGTGCTGATGGATTGCAGACAGGCAGGAGGGTTATGGGTGTAAATAACCCCGATGTCTACTGAGCTTTATTTACACTGATCAGAAATGTGCTGTTTCTTTGCCAAAAGCTAAGGACTCACCTGCTGGAACAGAAGTTACTCGAGGACACAGGAGTGTTGCTGGTGTTGCTGGTGTTTTTCAACCTGTTTTCTACACAATCCAGCATTTGATACACTGGAAATCCAGTTTGAAGAGAGTTCCTCGTGTCCCTGAAGAACCTCCCAGCATAAAGAGCGGGAGAAGGTGTTCCTGCTTTTTGTTGGTCAGTGGGTCAGGGGGGGGTTTTGTTTGCTTTTATGTCTTATTTTAAAGGATGATGGAGCGAGTGCAACACACACACACGGGTGAGGCTGTTCCAAGCAGAGCTGCAGGATCCTTGCAGGCAAAAGCTGAGAGGGAGAGTGTTTTATTGCTGTGATTTGGTTTGCAGGAGTCAGATCACAGCCACTTCCTCCAGACTCGTTTGGATGCTTTAGTGGGAAGTGCACTCAGGTGGAGAGCTCTTACACCGACAGATCTTTGATTTGGTGAATTAATGGAAGAGTTAGCTGGGAGGAAAACAGGATGTCAGAGCTGCAATCAGATGTGCTGCTGATTACTTGCCCATTTCTGTGGGTTTTGGGTTAGAGTGATGCTGCTTGCTCTGGAGGTATTGCTTCCGAATTTCTGCCTTAATTGGGTGAGCATCATAAGAAGCTTTTTCCATCAAAATAATACTGGGTACATAATACAGATCACCTTGAGCCACAGTGGTGACACTGAAGTGCTTTTTTGTGTAATAATTACTTTTTACTTACCATCTCAGCACTCAGTCTCTGTTGTTGTCACTATTGGTGCAAGTAGAAATGGAACTACCTTTTTTTTTTTTTTTTCTTTTTAACAAACATGAGGTTTAAGAGCTATTACTGACAACTGTAGAAATTCCATACCTCGCATTTCAGGTTGATACAACCAGCTTAGAAAAGTAGGAAACACATTCCAGCCCCTTTCCTCTCTCTTCCCAAGGAGAAGATGCCCAGCCAGGGGTAGGGTCGTGCCAACGCTGAGTGATTTATTTTCTTGAAGACCAGAACACCATTTCAGGACTCCAGCTCTTTCAAGACAAGCTAATCCTTAGATGGGGATTGGATTGGAAAGGTTTGCTTTCTTTCAAGTGCTTTTAAGCTGGTTTTGCTGGTGTGTTCCGAGGTGTCCTTGGAGCTGCTGTTCACAGGGGAAATGGCTGCTGCATCTTGAATTACCCAGCATTTCTGCCGTGTCAGGGGGAGCTGTGGTGAGCAGCTGAGATGTGCTCAGATCGGTGGATATCTGATTTCCTGGGGGGCACAAAATGTTGCTGTGCAGTGGGAAGGGCTGAGTTTCCTGAGATCCAGAGAAAAGGCGTTTCTGGCCTTGGGTTCACGTGTTCTGTGGGGCACTTCATGATGGTGAGAGGAGAGATTATTTCCTCCTGGCTTTTGAAATGATTTACCCTCGTGAATCTGAAATGGCTCAGCTGGTGTGGGGCTGACTGCAGCTAAAGCTGGAAAGATGGAAGGGTTGGGGAGGCATTACTGGTTTCTGTTCTGCTCTTTAAAACATGATCATCTTTATTTGTAATTTTTAGTACACCGAGTGAGCAGGCAGGAATTTCTGCTAAAGGGCAAATAAATCACAAAATCCAGCTTTTTAATATACACAAGAAGTACCTGTTGCCTCCTGAGAGACCAGGATACTCTGTGTTGGTACATAAGACATGGCAAAGTGGCCACTTTCTGACCCAAGAAGTTTATGAATCAGGTGTCAGGATTACATTTTACAGGACCTGATGTTTTCTGGGAACAGCAAATATTACTCGAATCTGTAAAATTAAAAAAAGCAGCAGAATTAAATCCAACACTTGAATTGCTTCCACACAGGTAATGCTTTACTTACCAGGCCATTTCTGCCTGGAGTTTGTTTGAGAGCACAACATTTGAGATCAGTTGGTGGGTTTGAATAGGACACCCACTGCTCTTGAAGTGTTTCTATTCCTCGTTTGAGTGAGCACCCCAGTGACAACAAATGTGCCAAGATAGTTTTTAAATTTACATCCTGCCTGATTTGAGGTTTTCTTTACACAGGGCTGTTTTCTCTCATTTTTTGGGCTGTGTTTTTGCACTCAGTCACTGGAATATTTGGACACAGCTAATAAAGGGTGGGATTAACACCTGATAATTTACTTCCATTAGTGATTTGAAGTAATGCTGTAGAAGCATTTGTGCTGTCTTTGCCCAGTTTGTGCATAAGACTGAGACAGTTTTATAATCTACTGACAGTCAGATTCCAAGTATTTAGAAACATTGGTATTTCATGACCTTTGACTGTTTTTTTCCCAGCTCTCTTCCAAAACTAAGCTTGACTGTATTAGCACAGCAAGCGAGCTCCAGAGAGCAAAACTAGGTTTGTGAATGCTGGACTGGCACCTCTCTGTAAAAACATTGGTTTATTGCCTGTAAAATATCCTGGTTTAGGAAACAGCTGAGCCAAGAGTGGCACAAAACTGTGAGACACAGTGAAGTGGAAATGCTCTGTGTGCTGGTGTCAGCCAGGGCTGGGCTTGTAGAAGTGAATCTGTGCTGTTAGTGAGGCACAGAGAGGGAAGGGGCTGTTTCCATTCAGAAGGAATTCAAGAATCTCCCAGGGAATCTACTTGGATGTTGTTTGGCTTTGAAATCCTTCGAGCTGTTGAACAACAGCTCCTTGCTTAGTGGATCAGAGCCCTCTTTTTGCAGAAAGCTGGGAATTTGGTGGGCTCAGACTCGTGCAGATTTGTGTCTGCATGAGTGGCACTGGTTGGTTGGGGTTGGTTACTGATTGTTTGTTTCTGTTTATTTGTAGGTTGCACGGCCGCTACTACGAAATGGCCCCCAACGTTGTGCCCATGGACTACACAAAGGACCCAGACGTCAAACTACCTATGCAGCTGATAATTAACATGCCTGAGCTCAAGGTATCCCCTCTGACTGCCTCCAGACTGTGTCTCATGTAGCTCATCTGCCAAGGCAGGCTGATAGCCCGAAGCAACGTGGTGTTCTGAGCTCTTCCTGCCACTGTTCAAGGGCAAAACCAGCCCCAGAAGCTGGAAAGGGTTTGGGTGGATGCCTCTCTAGCAGGGCTGGTTGGGGTAGATGTTGGTAGGAAATTAATGGGAAATGAAGTCAAATGTAGCAGTTTCTGCCCCTTTGTGTGGACCAACCCCCAGAGGAGCCAGTGGGGTTTCTGTGGGAAGAGCTGATCAGAAATCAGAAGTTCTTTTCTCAGTGTGCTGATTGGAAATTTCCCAGAGGTGTGCAGAACACCGCTGATAAAAAGGAAAGGTTTTCCCCTTTTTTTTTCAGCTGCCTGAGCACAGTTGGGAGCTTTCCTTTTTCGTGGGGACATAACATGATAGTTGGTGGATTTACAGTCCACGTGACTGCACGTGAGAGAAGCAGTGGCCATAAAGCAATCAGTGAAAAAAACACGTGGGGCACTCTTTGTTTTGATTCTTGTATCGGTTCAACCATTTAATATGGTTTTAACGGGACAAATACAGATTTTTAGCAGTTATTTTTTTCAACAGTTCGTAGAATTATGTTGTGTTTGGTCTCGTGGTCTATTTTTTAATTAGTTGATGTCTTTACTATAATGTGGAAACAACTCTTGGTTCAGTCTGATAGCTGCATGAAACATTCTGAAGCTTTTTAAGAAAAACAATCCCCTAAAAACCTTGTAATTAGTGACCTTCCACTAGATTTTAATGATTTAGAAACTTCATTATTGCTGTACTTTCCCCCCCCCAAATATCTGACACTTTACAAGCAGAAATCCAGCTGGGGAGGAGGAGAAGTCAACATGGAGAGAAAAACTTCCTTAGAGAATTCCCTGTGGGAAAGGGATCATAATCCATCCTCTGGCACCACATCCTGTGATCTTCTCCAGCCCTGCTTTAGGGGATGTCTCCAGGGTCATGGAACTTGACTTGATGAAAAGAGCAGGACAAATTCAGTGGTTTATATATTTTATTTATATGTTTATTTATATATTTATATTTATAGATTTCATTTTCGAAGCACTCTGGGTGCAATAACTTCTCGTACACCAAATAAAAAACATCTCTGACCTCTGCAACTTGGCCAGGCTGCCCAACACAAATCGTTCCGGTGTTTGCTTTCTTTGGGTGGTTTTCATCCAGGTGAAGCCAAAGCCAATCTTAAAATAGAAATAAATGAACGAAATGTCTATTGAATGGTAATAAAATTAGTGCTAATTTCACTGCACCTGGCTTTTTTCATATACACATTACATTTCTGGTTACTGGCAACGTTGAGCTCAATACCACTGCAGGTTCTGACAAATGGACAGAATCAATAATGCACTTTCCTAAATTAGATTCTGCTACTGTAAAGAAAAATCTTTACCTCCTGCATTAAGGTTTCCAGCCTGGATTTTTGTGTTTCTTAAAAAAAAACCCCAAAAAATAATAATAATAAAAAAATAATGCTGCTGGTCACTCCCTTTAATTGGGAATGAATTATTCACTAACTCCCGCCTCTTAAAAGTTGAAAGTTGGGACAAGAAAGAGAGAAAGAAAGAAGGGAGAGATCCTTTAAGTGGATTAGTTCTACCATTCCAGTGAGGTGTACAGAGCTGCTCCCCTCCATCAGTGGCACTGCAGCCTCTGCTCTCCAGCTCTGACAGTCTTGCTCTCACAGCCTTTGCTCAGGGAAGCAGTTTGGGTTTCTGCAGGGGTTTCCTAAGCCGTGCAGAGAAGTTTTGGTGACGTTAATACAATCATATGCACATAAAAACCACGTTATTGATTTTGAGGGAGAAGAAAATGAAGGAAAAAAAAAACCCCCAAGAAACTTGCTTTTATCTGCTCCAGGGATAATTTGCTGTTGCTTGTGATGCTTCCTTTCCAAAATGCCAGTCTTTCCTGTGGAGCTCTGGTAATGAACGATTTTGCCATTTTTATACTAATGTTTGTCTGGTAACGTCTCTATTTTTATTTTTTTTCAATTATTTTTTAGAATAACTCCTGACATTTGAGACAGGTTAGCTTTTGATCAGTTCTGAACAAGTCCTCACTAAGACATCCAAAGGGATCCTGACTTCCAGCAGTCTGCCAGGCAGACTGATTTGAGCATTTAAATATATTAAATATATTCCCTGAAGTCAGTGGGGACTTTGGCTCAAACACAGAGGGGAAGATCATCATTGTCGTTTAACGAGGCAAGTTTCTAGTTTTAAAAGGCTTCTTTTTTTGTTGTTGTTTTTTAAGGGAAAGCGATCTAGGAAGGAACAGGATCATTTTCCCCTTTCCCTTCCCCCCTGGCTTTTCCTTTAAAGATGATGGAACCCTAATCTGTGCTCTTTAGAGGGGAGGTAATGAAATTACAGAAAGGATGTGAAAAGTTATCTGGGAGGGTAAGCTAATACTTTCCATTGTGTAAGCCACAGATACACTGCCCCAAGACACATCATCTGAGAAAGTTAAGGGGAAGAAATCAATAGGAGGAAAGATTTTATTTGTCATTTAGGTTTTAGAGATCCATTTGGCCAAGAGTTACTTAAGAATGCTTAGACCCATTTAATTCTTTCTTAACTCAGCTGTGTTTTCCAAGATCTCTGAGGTGCCAAATGGAGAACTCATCTCATGCACCTGCAAAATGTTTCCTGGGTGAGTGAGAGCCTGCCTGGCATTTCTGATGTGCCAGGTTTGATATTCCCAGCTGATAGGGGGATTTGCATCCCTGGGCTCCCTGTTTGTTACCCAATGCTGCCTCTAAGATGTCACTTCACAACTGTTACCCTTGGTTCTCCTCAGGTTTGTTCCAAAGGCAGCTACGTAGTATTTCAGAAATTAAAAAATAATTAGCGACGTGTTTCAGCACCTGCTCTGATGTTTGGCCTTCTCAAATATTAAACATTTTAACAATACACCATTTTTGGGTGCCTTTAGGAAGAAAGGGGGCCTTTTCATATATTTCAGCCCAAATGAACCCCACTTTGGCTTGTTAATGAACTGGCAGTTGGAGACAATAGAAGCAATTGTGTGCATTCCCCAGACAGGGCTCTGTGTTTATCACCAGCAGGTCCATGTGTATTCCCCAGACAGGGATCTGTGTTTATCCCTGACAGATCCATGTGCATCCCACAGACAGGCACATCTCCAGGCACTTTAAGCTCAGCAGCACCCACAGTTGCCCACCTGCTGTACCTGCACGTGACATATCCATTTACAGTGGGGTTCTCTCAGCCATCTGGCAAGTTCTGGGGTGTTGTTTTTCATTCTGAGACCCTTCAGAGATGTGACCCTGCTGCTTTTTGAGGCTGCTGGCTTTTTGTTTCCAGGGATCCCTCCTTTCTCCTCTCTTTGGCCTGGGTTTGCCTTCACCTGAACAGTGAGCTCATTCATCTGCTCCCTCAGAAATCCGTGGGCAGGGTCCCTGTTGTGGAATTCCTTCAGCCAGGGAACCCTGCAGGAGAATCTGTAGTGTTGGCTCCTTCAGTGGGCTGTCAATTGAGCCTGGGGCTCTGTGCTCCATCCTTCACCTGTCCACTAAAACAGCCTCGTTCCTGGCCACTGTCACAGCCAGACAGACTGCACAGATCTTGGTGTTTCGTGGTGAATCAAATCCAACTTTTCCCCCAGCACTGCCAAGGCCACCACTAAACATGTGCCCAAGTGCCACAGCCACAGGGCTTTTAAATATCTCCAGGAATGGGGACTCAGTGACTTCCCTGGGCAGCCTCTTCCAGGCCTTGACAACCTTTTGGATGCAATTTTTCCTAAGAAATAATTGAAACCTCCCCTGGGGCAATTTGGGGCCATGTCCTCATGTCCTGCTGCTGGTTCCTGGGAGCAGAGCCTGACCCAGCCCAGCTCCCCCCTCCTGTCAGGGATTGCAGAGCCAGAAGGTCCCCCCTGAGCCTCCTTTTCTCCAGGCTGAGCCCCCCCAGCTCCTCCTGCTGCTCCTTCCCAGCTCCATTCCCTTCCCTGGACACATTCCAACCCCTCCATGTCTTTCTGGTAGCGAGGAGCCCAAAACTGACCGTGGGATTCAAATCCTGTCCCAGGGAATTCTGCTTGCAGTGTCTGTTCCTCAGCTCTCACTCCCCCTGAGGGGACTGGCACTCACATTTACGTGGTTTGTCAGTAGGTGAATATTGGCCTTGTAGCAAACTCCAACTCATCTCCACCATGGAAGCAATCCTGGGTGCAAACTGCAAGACCAAAGTCATCTCATTTGGCTGGTTGGTGTATCCCACCATTACCTGCAGACCTGCTGGAATCAGGTGTGCTCTGTGAGGACGTGAATGGCCACCAAATCTCTTCAGCAGCTCTGCTTTTTACCTGCTGCTTCCATCTCTTTAATCTCCACAGTTGTGCTGAAAATGTGCCCTGCTGATGCATCTGTTCTGTGTGTGAATTATCAAGAGAGAATTCGAGTTAACTGAAAAATAAGATTTTCCTGGTCACTTGCCTCTGGTTTATGAAATTTCATTTAAAATAATTGGATGGTTTCTGAACACCTGTTAGGTAATTAAACTTAGAGGAAAAAAGCTTCTGAGCTTTCCCAGTCCTTCTTTTAAAGCCAAACAAAATAATGCTGCATGCACATTAAGAATATGAAGCATGATGTGCCACCACTGAAGCTGTTTACATTTCTAGAAGATCAATATGTTGATTGGTGTCTTGGCTTCTGCAGATCTGTAGAGCAGCTTTGATCAGATTCAACTGAACTGAGGTGATTTTATAGATGTAGTTTTACAGATACAGCTACAAATTAATTTGGGGGTTTTATAAAGCTGCGACAGAGATGTTGCTTTGATACTGTAAAAACATTTGGTTTGGACTTGGTTGGGAGTTTTAAAGCAGCTTTTCTTGTGCTTGCTTGTGTGTTTGTGGGTTTAGAATATTGTCTCGCTCGTGGGTGCAGGAAAGGATCTCGGGATCATCTCCTGTGGAGATTAAATTGCATTTCAATATCTCTGGAGTTCAGTCAGTCCAGCCACAGGTTGGACATCCATGGTATCAGTGCCAATGAAAGGCTTTTCTACAAGATTCTGCCGAGATGTGACTGCATCCTTAATGACTGATGGTTCTGCATCAGCCAGGGGTGGAGTGCAGGCACTGTTTTTTGAGGTGGTTTCACAAACACTGTTTGTTCTTCCAGCCTTCACTCAGGAGGCCCCTGTTTGCTTCCTTGGCTTTCTCCCTTGCTCTCTTGTTTCCATCCCCTCCTGCCAGCCCCTGTTTTTCTGTGCCAGCTGTCACCACCTGCCCGTGTCGCTCTGACACCCTGGCAGGAGCCTCTTACCCCAAAAACCACCTCAGGCTCTTTGCACCTCCCCTGTAACGTTTATAAAGCACTGGAGGAACCAGATGGGCACCAGTTTGGAGAGAAAGAACCTGGGCAAGAGGTACAATGCAGACACTTCCTGCAAAAGCATACAGATGTCAATTTTTGGATGCATTTTGGGAGGAAAAGTTGCCTTCAAAGAGCCGGCCATGGAATTGAGTATTCATTATCAGGGAGTATTTCAGCAGTTTTTTAATCTTTCAAACGCTAATATATAAATATATGTGGGTTTTTTTGCCCCAGGAGAATCCCTTCAAAGAAAGGATTGTGTCATCTTTCTCAGAGGATGGAGAGGGCAGCCTCAGCTTCAACGACTTCGTGGACATGTTCTCCGTGCTCAGTGAAATGGCTCCCAGAGAGCTCAAAGCAATTTACGCCTTTAAAATCTACGGTACCGCCTGGGGGGGGGGATGCTTGGGGGGGGGGGGGGGGGGGGGGGGGGGGGGGGGGGGGGGGGGGGGGGGGGGGGAGGGAACGATTGTGAGAGCTGTCGGTGACCTTTTTGATTCTTTTTCTGGTGCAGATTTTAACACAGATAACTTCATTTGTAAAGCAGACCTGGAGCAGACCCTGAATAAGCTGACGAGGGAGGAGCTGACGGCCGAGGAGATCACCCTGGTGTGTGAGAAGGTGATAGAAGAGGCTGACATGGATGGGGATGGCAAACTGGGCTTCGCAGATTTTGAGAACATGATTTCCAAAGCACCAGACTTCCTCAGGTACCGTTTTAAGCCTCTTGCGTACTTTCAGGTGGTTTTTTAGGATGCGTGGTGCAATGCAAGAAGTGTCAGGCATGAATATTTTACTGCAGAACCCCCTCGAGGATGACCTAACTCAGGTTATTTTTCTAAACTATGTTCCTATTCTCTGCTCAGTGACTTCTTTGTGGGTTCTTCAGGATAATATTTTGATTATTCTAAGCTCAAATTCGTATTTTTCTTAAGCCTGTAGCAAGAATCCCTGCCTAGAATTGTGTGTAAATATTGTCTACGTGTTACAAATATACATGGAAAAACATTGTCTTTTCTGCTGAGCAGGTGGGAGCATCTTTAATGCTGATGGTTTTTTAAGAACTTTTAAGTGTCCTGCAGAACACAGAACAGTTTATTGCTTCCATAAATGAAATTTCTGAGGGAGGACATTAAAGCAAAGTGATCAGTAAAGCACAAGCACGTGATTCCCGTGAATCCTGAGGAACATCAGCTTCTTGAGAGGAGACACTGCACATCAGGCATTCCCTGACTAATCAAGTGTTTTACAGACTCCCTTTTAGAAACATTTAGAAATATTTCATCATTATGATGAGGTGAGGCCCAGGAGGTGTTCTGGTGTTTTGTTTGCATACATTTCCAGCTAAGAGAAAACATTTTCTTGGTTGTGCTGCTGGGGTCAGGTGGAGTTTCCTTTATTAGTCCAAAGGCTGCTCTGCACCTGCAGATCTGGTGGAGGAGCTGAAGGCAGAGCTGCAGAGTCAGCAGGAGCTGCAGGTTGAGGAGTCTCCTGTGCCATGACTGACTTTCCTGCTGTGTTGTGGAGCCTGGCAAACTGCTGACTGAGAACTCCAAGGTGAGGATGTTGTGCATCCTCAGCCATTTCCTGAGGAAGTGGCAGAGAGGAGCATTTGCTGGTGCAGCCGCCGGGATGACTGTCATAATTATTCTGCTTTCCCAAGTTGGGGATGTTGTGGGAAGATGAGGGAATGAACTGAGTGCTGGGTATTCAACAGGGCAAGATGATGAGCAACAAGAGGCCTTGTTGTAGATTAGGCAGGAGAAAGCAGAGTGCCAATGAAACCAAAGGGCCAGGCTACCAAGGGTTGGAACACTGAGCATCCAGTTGCTCAGTTTAAACACAGGTCCTTGGATCCATGTTCATGACATGGAGATCTCCATGTTTTCAAGGTGTCTCCTGCCTGTTCAGGATGGTGCTGTGCATATTTAAGGCAGATATTTTTCGTCCTTGGCTTCAAGAGAAATCTTAACTTGCCTCTTCTTTCAGGCTCAGGAGATCAGCTGAGTCCCAGGATTCATCTGGGAAGTCCTCAAGCTGAAGAGCTCCTGATGACATAAAGAAGGATTTCCTTCCAAATCCCAGCCAAAACTCTGGCCAGGCAGTTTCCATGTGGACAGCAGCTTCTATTTGGATGGCAGTATAAAGAAAACAATCCCTTAGCTGGAAATACCTGTAAAGAAAGTATTTAGAATCCTCTCGAGATGCTGATGTTTCTCAGGGTACATCAACGTGGTTTTTAACCTTTGGAGCTTTATTGCAAAATGAAAATATAATAGAAAAATGTCTCAGAGCTGAGAAGGGAATGTGTAGCTTCTCTGATCTGGTTTCTGATCCATCCAGAATTAAAAGCTCAGGAAAAGAAGGTGACACTGTTATCCAAACCAATCTGTATGGAAGGCTTGATACCTCTGCCTTATTGTGGTTTACTGTTCACTTTGCCTATTAAAGTGGGGTTTTTTTCCAGGATATTCTTAGTCATATTTTTCCTGTGTGCACTGGCATCACTGACTGACATATTTGTTAATGCTGAACCTCCTGATCTGAGGAGCTTACTCTCATTTTTAAAATACTGTGTAAGTGTTGCGTTCTGAGCGAGACAGTGATTTTGGGATGGGGTTCACTGAAGTTTAATGTTACCCCCAGGTCTGATGGGGCCTGCCAGTTTGTGACATGGGACAAGGGGGCAATTCCTGCAGCTGATCCCTCCCCACAGAACCCACAGTTCCCGTTCTTTGGGTTCAGTTGTGCTGTAACAGTTGGACACGCGACCTGTTCGTTTAACGAGACGCTGCTTTCTTATCTCGTTGTGAATTAATCTCCATCTCCCTTCCTGGCTTCTCATTTTCCCTTCTCCACAGTGTCCAGCTGGAATGCCCTTTGCAGGGCTGGCCATGGGCTGTGTGCAGCCACAGGCAGGGCTGTGCAGCTTCACTGGGTAATCTAATACAGAGCAGGCAAAGCTCAGGAAGTGGCTTAACACAGATCACCAGCCCTGTTATGCCAGGGGTGACCTTACCCTGCACAGCTCCTCAATATTCCAGCAAGAACTAAAAACGTGTTTTCCCCTAAAATCCTCTCTTCTGGAACCCGTGGGACAAACTCCAACCCGTCAATGCCCGGGGACAGTCCTGGCTTCATTTGCTTTCTCATCTCCGCTTCTCGTGCCCAGCTGAATGCATTCCAGAATTCCAGTCCCAGGAAGCCCAGGAAGAGCCTGCTGATTTATGCTTTCAGCTGCTGGGCTGTGGAAATGGAACACGTGGGGAAGCAAAGCAGCAGCCACGCTGCAGATGATTGCCAGGGGGCAGTTGGAGTGCTGGGAACCTCAGGTTTCAGGCATTTTGCTGTGAGGAGATGGGCAATCAATATTTATGGATACCTGATCCCAGAATACCAGGCTGGCACCTGGTGTAGGATCCTCTTGGAAAGGCTGAATAGCTTCACAAAGCCTTGGGTGATTTTTAGTTGTAGCAAAGCGATTTCTTATTCTGTTCTTTGCCTTTTTGCCCTACCAAAAGCCACATCTTCCCATCAAAAAAGGAGGAGATGTAGGATTTAAGGCAGTTAAGTTTTGTCTCGTGATTTGTGCAGCCAGTGCTTACCTGGCAGCTGACAAACACCGAGGACTTTTGTAATAGGGACTGTAAATTCTCATCATCCTCAACATAAGATCGGAAGTTCCTGAGGAGGAATATCCTCTTTGCTTTTTAAAGGCCAGATTCTCCTATCAGTGTGCCCTGAGTTTTGAAGCCCTTTTTTTTTTTTTACACAGCTCGGGGTGTTGGTGTTTTTCAGGCTGTCCTGTTCTCACACCCACTGAGCTGAAGTTCATCCATCCCCTGTACAGACTGATTTTCCTTTCTCAGACCTTTACCTACGACCCTGTGTGGGTTTAACCTCCCCCAGACAGCCTTTGTGCTGCTGGCAGGTAAATAAAGATGCAGTAAAGTTGCTTGATTTGTGCTGCTGTCATTGAGGAACCCCTGGCAGATTGGAAGCAAACCCCGACCAGGAGGGCAGATCTCTGTGTTTGGCTGCTCCCAGCAGCCTGACTGAGCTCTAAATGACAATGACACTTGCAGGTTCAGAAAATTGGAGCCCAGGAGTTTTATTTCCCTCAGAATTGTTACCATTAACAAGCTGCTGGTCGTTTAATGGAAGTGTGAGCAGTGTTCTGTTCTACAAGGCTGGGTACGTTTTCCACAGGAAATTGTTTTATAAATCATCCTGGAAGGTTCATGCCTGAGGGTGAAATGTGCTGGAACAATAGGAAATGGAGTTGGGGAGGAATATGGCATTTAGGAATGCCTGGGAGCTGCCAGAACCAGACAGAGAAACAACAGATTGAACAAGATGATGGCACTGCAAATGCAGCATCTCTGGAACCTTTGGGGCCTTTACCCAAACAGCAGAGGTTGTGACTCCAATCCTACCTGTAGGGAGTGTGTATCTCCCAAGGCTGTCCCAACATGCAGGTTAATTCGTTCTCAAGGACTCAAACTGGCAAGAGAGGCTCAGCAAAGAAACAAAGGCCAAAAAATGACACTCTGATAAAAATAGGATTTTTTCCAATAAATAGATTCCCAGTGAGGGTGGATAACAGTTTGGTAAAACAAAACTCCCAAACTGTACACCCAGAACTTTTCAGCCTCCCAAATACCCCAAACCTCGAAGGTTTCCTTTGAGTGTGGGCAACAGAATTATAGAATTTACACACAGAAATACATCGTGATCCCTTCTGATTTCAGCCAGTCAAGAAAGAAACCCACAGTTTGTGCTGCCACGACACTGAGCAGAGGTTGCTGCTTGGAGACAGTGAAGTTTTTGGCATATTTTCCTAAAATTGTGCCTCCCTGGCCTGCTGAGATGCCAGGAGCTCTGCTGAGAGCTGATGGCAGTGCAAAGACGTGCTGCTTGCCTGTGTCACGGTGCAAACAGAAAGGAGAGGACAACCAGCATCTCTCTGTCCCAACAAGAGAAACAACAACTTCACCTGCCTGATTTGTCTGGTTTAGGAAGCCAAATGCTGTTCCAAAGCTAAAGTACCATTGGCAAACATTTAGCTCTGCTCTGTATCCAGTAAATAGGTCGATTTACCCTTGATTTCATGCAGGGCTGGGCGAACATTGTCAGAAGATGGAATTTTCTCCCGTAATGTTTAAATCTTCTCAGGGTGTGAAAGAAGAGGATCCCTTTCGTGACACAGCCCCTTCCTTTCTGTACTTCAAGAAAAATACTGTGCATAATGACAAACCTCTTTAAATCTCAATTTTTTCCCCTTCTTTCGCAGCACTTTCCACATCAGGATCTGAAGATGTTTCTGAGAGCCGGTGGTATCAGAAATGACTTGGCCAGTCCAGCCTTCCTGAATCTCAGGCGCTCCAGGGGCTTTCTGTCCTCTCCTGAGGGCTTCTCAGAACTCAGCAGAAAGTCCTGAAGCAATTCTGGTCCACAGGGAGACCCAAACATCACGTGTTCCCCAGGATCTTTGGAACAGTCACATTTTTATCTCCACTGCTGGCCAAGCACTCTGGCAAAGATGGTTGGTGGTTGGGTTGTGCTTTTTTTTTGTTTTTTTTTTTCCGCCCCTTTTTTTAAACAGTGGGAACCAGAATATTATTACAAGTATTTCCACGTAGTTTTTATATTTATGAATATTTAATACTGCTCTGAAAAGTGCAAAAAAAAAAACCACCCAAAAGAATGAGAGAAGGGTTAGCTTTGGGGTGTTTGCCAAGAGGATTTGGAAGGGCCTTAACCAACGAGATGCCTCTCTCACTGTGTGGTGACTGTCCTTCCTCTGCTGGGCTCCTGCATTTCACTCCTCCTGGGGGCTGCTGATGCTGAGAGGATGAACGTGGTCACCTGTGACTCGTGAAGAAGTTGAAGAAGCACAGAACTCCTCCTAAGGACACGAAAAGACCTTTTCTTTCTAAACCAGCTATGCAATCTTTCCCATAAAGTGCATGAATGCAGCTCTCTATTCCTCTCCCCCCTCCAGATCTTTCTTTTCTTCCCCCACTTCCAGTATTGTTGAGGTACTGGGGCCTGAAGACAATCAGATGTGTGTGAATTATTGTTTAACAGTCAATGGAAGGGCTCTGTCACTTAACATGGCTTGTGTATCAAAGTCATCACCATTAAAACCTTTGAGTCAGCCCGTTGTGCTTGGAGGATTTTTGAGGCTGAGCACCCTCTTAATTTGTTTGCTGGTCGTTATTGCAGTTGCTGTGAAGTTAAATCTCTCAGATGTGTTGCTCTTACTGCAAAAGTTGCTGGGGAAATGAAGGTTTTTTATCATTTCTGCAGGGATGGTGATGCTTATCTACCTCAGAAATTTCTGTGTGGTGAGCTTGCAGGGTGCTGGTGTTCATACTCACACTGTGCATAAAGGAGGAGTATTTATCTAGGGGCGTGGTTGTACATTAAAAGTGTCGATGGAAAGTTGGGATATTCATCTATTGCCTCAGGTAGCCCTGTGGAAATGAAACTTGTGTGTTTGCAATAACACTTATTTTTAAAATATTTTTAGAGTGGTCATATTCAGCGATGTTTTCAGCATTTTAATGCTTCCTCCTACCAGTTTCTGTGTAGATAAAGGAATTAAAACCTGAATTCCCTTACCCAAGTTAAAATGAACATAAAATAAGTCCTGATATTCAGTTCTGATTGAGTTAGAAGATATTCAGGCCTCAGTGTTTTTCATTTTGAGCAGATTGAATTAGATGTTTTGCTTGATTCAAACTGCTGGCATGACATTGGTCTTAAGAGGGACGATGTTCAAATTACCTCCTATTTATTGAACTATCAGCCTAGGTTTTTTTAAATTATTATTATTTCTTTCAAGACCCACATTTAAAAGCCTTGTGAGGTGTGTTTTTCTGTCAGGATTAGGATGCTTTGTAAAACACCAGCTTGCAAGATCCTGGAGCAGATTATTCACCCAGGAGGACCTGGTGCTGATGACACAGGTCAGTTCCCTTTGCTATCAACGTTCTTCTTTTATGCCTTAAGACTTTTTAAATTCCTTTTTTCCTGACAACTGCGTGTCATTCCATGGCTGGGTCATCCTCTCCTCTTAAAGGGAGACCTCAGTGGCCTTGGAATGTGCTCAGGGTTTCCCTGAGCTAAATGTCGCTTGAAGAATCACCTGAGTTTGCAGCCAGATGTGTGACCTTGGAGTCGTCCAGCTGAGCTGGGAAACAAAGGGGGAAAAGAAATCAGGAACGTTCCTAACTCCCTTTGGGGTTATTTATTTTTTTATTATTATTATTTTTGTTCATCTCCCGTGACAAAAACCGGAGCAGCATCGCGCGTTCCTGGAGTTTGAGAGATGCAAACAGTAAATCCTTGCCGAGGGGAACAGCACTGCCTGCTGGTGGGTGAGTTGTCACGGCACCTGGTGGCGAAGGGAGGGGACGGATTTCTAAAGCAGCTTTGTGTTTGCACTTTCTTCATTGCCTTAGGAGCGAAACTTTTCTCCCAGCAAGCGTTGGGCGAGTGGGAGAGCAGCGTGAGGAATTCAAATACAAACGTAGCGCTGGTAGGAGGGGTTTGGCAATAGCGTCGTTGGCAGAATCCGGCAGATTGGCCAACAAAGCTTTCTCCAACCAGCCTTGCTCGCTCAAAAAGGACTGTCAGGCCGTTTGGGAAGGAAATGAAAGAGTGAAGGACCATTTAGGTTTCAAACACTTTGGGATTTGGTCTGTGAGCAAGAGGACATACATTTTGTATGTAAAGTTTTAAGTATGAATGGACATTTCTAGATTTGCCTTCAAAAATGGGCAAAGAAGGAGGAAACCCTTTACCTAAAGCCTGGATTAGCTAAGTGTGTGTGTTTGTGTGTGTGTGTGTGTGTGTTATCTCTTGCTTTTATACACTCAGAGCATCTTGGGGACCAAAAGGAGCTTGTGGCAGTGACTAAAACAGCGTCCAAAAGTAAGTACTAACTGAGTTATTGTAGCTGATCGTGATTTTAAGGAAATACTGCAGGCCAGGATTTGTGACAGCCTGCAGGTCAAAATCTGCTCTGCCTCGCTCCCATATTAATCTCCAGTAACTCTGCTGACTTCAGTGGAATTAACTCACGTCTGTAATTGGATCTGTGGTGGGGAAAGTCGCTGGGTTTTTGCTGCAGTTCTTCGTGGCCTCTCCTGCCCTTTTAGTGCCATCTTAAAATGCTGAATGCTCTTTTTTTAGCCAGTAACCACAAGCTGCTCTTTGCCAACAGGCTCAGCCTTGGAATCTCTTGCAGTGGAAGAGGAACAATCTCCTTTCCTTTTTTTTTTTTTTTAACCAGGGCTAATTTTTATCTCCTTGTCCACGTTAGAGGCACTTATGATGAAACCTCACAAGGTGGCACCACAACTTCATTTAACTGTTGAAATTTCCCTGCAGCACAGGATTGGGTGTAGAATCTGGGATGCCACGAACAAAAATATGAAAGCTGGGGTTAATTACTGATTTTAGGACTGGGCATAATGACACAGAAAGTTTTGTGTGTCTCAATGGCATATGAATAAAAAAGTGTTTTATTGAAGTCCCTGAAAATTGAAATGCACTCCAAAAAAATTAAAGAGGGACTTTCTTGTTGAGACTATAAAACCTCACGTTCTAGATAGCTGAACAGGTTAAGATTATATTCTGAAATAGCAGAATATAAAGTAAGATAGAGACAGAGTTTTTGTTGGGGACTGAGAAATATTCCCGCTCAGGATCCACAGTAAATCAGTTTGGGCTGAAATCAGAGCAGGACTAAAAAGAGTTTACAGTGTTATTGCCCAGTACACCTCGGCTGGGCCAGACAATGGGCTGAAATTTGATGAGGAAGACATTAAGGGTAATAAAATTATAATTGTTGATGCCGTTATTAAGATGTGAGTGTGGGGCAGGAGGCCAGGACGCAGGAACAGAAGTTCTCCCTTTCTCTCTGTGTCTCTCTTTGCAGCTTTGGGTGTCTCGGTGACACCGAGTGACTGTCACGTTCTGTGCTGGGGAAAAGGCAGAGACTGCTCTTGGCACAACTGAAGGAGCCTCAGCACTGCAGATGGAAGTGCCTTTATCCCACTGCAGGTTCTGCCACTCTAATCTGCAGGGGACATTTCCCAATCTGAGCTCCGAATGACGCTCCTTTGTGTCCCTCTGGCCTCAGTTCCAGGAGCAGGGACCAGCCAGGCGTGGCTTTGCTGTTGCACTGGAGTCTTCTCCTTCCCTCTGCTGTTTTAGACACCGAAACCATTTACTGTGTTATCCACAAGGAGACAAAATTCTTTTTCATTACTTTTCTTCCTCAAGCTGCTGAAGGGAGGAGCCAACCCAAGCAGGATGGTATTCATGTTTGTGAATAGCAGAGGAGGGGGGGAACAAAAAAACCTGGATTTTCAGCCCCTAAAACTTGAAGCCATCGAGACACAGTTTTCTGTCCACATCTTTTTCCTCTCCTGGAGTGCAGCTGCATAGTTTGTCCACGCATATAAAGTGTGAATTGCTTGTGAAAGAGGTACAGAAATTGAAGAGCTTGACTCCATCAGAAATTTCGGGAGTTTTACTCCAATTAAAACAGCTGCATTGCATTCAAATCTAAACCTGCTGAGGGAACCTTCAGCTTTGGATTTCACAACAAAATCAGTATATACAAGTGAAGGGAAGAGGTGAGTTTTGAGGCCATTCACAGCTTGCCCCTCTTTTTGCCCAGGTTGGGAGTAAGGATGGAAAGAAAGACTTCCCAGTGAGGCAGCTGGGAATAGCCGTGATTCCCTGTGCAGCGGGACTGGTTTTGTGGTAAATCCCCCCCTGCTGTGTGTCCGTGCTGCACACCCAGCACTCCTCAGGCTCTCGTGCTCTCCAGCCCTGCATCAGCACCCCCTCATCCTCAGTCCCCTCCTGTCTGTCCCCGTGCAGATTGAGGCCATGTGTGCCTGTAAATGTAGGGCAGAGTGGTTTAACCCTGCTAAAGAGCCTTGTGGGCACCAATCCAGCCTCCCTCCCTCCCTCCCTCCCTCCCCTTTTTGAGTGGAACTTTTCTCCAGTGCAATCAGTGCTGGTGGCAGCCTGCCAGGAGCTCAGTGCTGAGGGCTTAGTCACAGCTCGGGCAATTTATTTATTTATTTTTTTTTTAAAGCTTATTTTAATTTTTTTTCCTTTGTGCACATATAAAACTTAAAATTCTGCATAGAAAAAAAAAAGGAGATTCAAAGAGAATTCCCTCTAGGAGGAGTTTGACACTGAAAGACTGTTTTGGTTTGTTTTTATTTTTCTCTGCCTAAACAAAGGGGTTCATTGGTGTGCATAAATTAGAGCCCAGGAAATTCAGGGAGGCTTTTCATGGGCTTTACATTTTTCATCTCTTTCATAGCTGTTTTAGTGGCTGCTGTTCTTCTGATGACATAACCAAATATGGTAAGGGACTACAGATAAAATCCCCTGCTGTGATTTCACACATCCTCATCCTCACAGTGGCATTAGAATTTACAGTTTTACAAGTTCCTCTTACCACATTTCTTCACATTTCTGCAGAATTTGCTTGCAGATATTCCCGGTGGA